AAAAATACCATTTAGTGAAAAATATGAAACAAAATTAATTTATTAAATTTGGATTTTACAAATATCACAACTTAATCTTAAACTTTTTTTGAACTAAGTAATAAAAAATAAACAGAGATTGTATACAAATTTCTTACAAGTAATTTAAATTTCAACACAGGTACTTTTCCCCAAAATGATGCCTCCTAAGCTCATTATTTTTCCTCGTTAAGGAATCTATAGGTTACACATCTATGGAGAATAGTAATAACAAAAGAGTTAAAATGCGGAATCTTTAGGTTCATGATAATTTTATGAATTTATTTGAGAAGTAAAACTTAAATATTGTATTCTATTTTTACAGTACATAATATCTAACATGACTTGTACATTTGCAATGTTTTGATAGGAAAAGTTTGGATTAGGGGACTATTTGGAGCATTGGCAGTGCAGTTGGCGCTTGACCGGATCATATTTTACATATCCAGGTACAATCTCCGCTATATAGTAATGAGTTCTTCGAATTCATCATAACATCCATCCGACATTCTTACTGTAATTACAAATTGCATACAACTGCATAGAAATTCAAAGATATGTGTGAAGTCAACCAACCCTCACTGGCTCTGCGTTGTTGAAGAAGACCTAGTCGCATTCTTGAGGGTAGGCTCCGAGCTCTTCAGTGGAGTATAGTGAGCTTGATGATGACGATTTGTTTTGCTTCAATGCATATTGTCTTGTTAGCAATTTTCTAAATATTTAACCAACAGATAGGAGCTAATCTCTTTCCAGTGTTATTGTATTTCTCCCGACGAGAGTGGCACTACTACTCCAGTTCTATCAGAAAATATGATCTATCAAATAAACAAACTGGAACAAATAAGCATTTATCAAAGTTGGGGTATTTTGTTGGTGAACTAAACAATAATGGTATTATTACGAAAGCAATGAGCATTATGTTGCGTTCTTAAAATATGTTCACTTTGGTCAGAAGATTAAATTAAGTTGCAATTAACGAAATTGTTTTATTTTTCCAAAATTGTTTTCCCTCGAATAATACTTTCAAACGTCAAAAAGGAAACTGACAGATTGATTTTTTTTAGGTTGGTAGCAACGTAGACGTTCATAATATTGCTAGCATTGAAAATGTCAATTTTTATTCTCCGTTTGTGTATCTAATTAGTCAAGAGTCCCGTCTCTTATTTTATATACTCTTTGATGAATACAAATAAATTGTAAATTTTAAATTACTTACTTAAATTAACTTAATTAAATTGTTGTTTAGTTATAATCCAAACTTTAAATGTAAAGAAATCATAAATTTTTAAATCACACTTTATTCATATGCACTATGTTTTTTTTTTTAAACAGCCCAAAAATTATAGAGAAAGTGATGAGTGAGATAGATACACAATTTTCAAGATGGAGGATCTCCGTTTGCGTTCAATTTGTAGCACAGATTATAAAAGTTTCGCTTGCCTGGTTTTAATTTTCAAGCTAAAATGACATTGACATTATATTACATACACAAAATACAAAATACTCTATGGTTGTCAACGTAAATGTCATATTTAAAATGTGATCATTGTGATTTTTGTAATCAAAAATTGTAAATAAACAATTTTATAACATCAATACTATATTGGTATCGTATTTATTTTAATTATAAATTAATTTACTTCAATGTACGAATTATTAAGTTCACACAAATGGCCGCAAATAACAAGGATGTGATCGATTCTCAAATATCTGTAGAGAATGTTTCATTTTTGGAAAATTGTTTCGACAATTCCTTTACAATACAAAACTCTTTAGTGACAGTGAGAGACTACATTACACATACCGTCCCTATAGCTGATCGGAGCAATAAGAATGGAAAGAGCAACACAGTAAAAAAAATTGTCTCAAGTTTAGAGTTAAGTCTAAGTACTAAGGAAGTTAAAAAGTCTGAGCAAAATATAAATGTAAGAAAGTTAAAAAATTGGGGCTTACCATTTGAAATTACAAAAAAATATGAAGATAAAGGGATTAAGGAAATGTTTGAATGGCAAGTATCCTGCCTTAGCCAATCGAATGTGCTATCAGAACATCGTAACTTAGTTTATTCTGCACCTACATCTGCAGGAAAAACTTTAGTAGCAGAAATACTTACGATAAAAACAATATTAGAGCGTCAAAAAAAGGTATTAATTATTTTACCTTTTGTATCAATTGTAAGGGAGAAGATGTTTTACTTACAAGACATTTTATCCAGTTCTGGGATAAGAGTTGAAGGGTTTATGGGATCACAATCACCACCAGGGGGCTTACAAGCTGTACATGTTGCTATATGTACAATAGAAAAAGCAAATAGTTTAGTTAATCGTCTTATTGACGAAGGTAACATATCTGAATTGGGTGCTGTTGTGGTTGATGAGTTACATTTATTAGGGGATTCAAACCGTGGATACATCTTAGAACTACTGTTAACAAAAATTAAGTACATTTCTTTAAAGGCAAATGATGTTAACATACAAATTGTTGGTATGTCGGCTACATTGCCTAATTTGGAAGTTCTGGCTGCATGGTTGGATGCAGAATTATTTATTACAGATTTTCGACCTATTCCCCTTGAAGAGTATTGTTTAGTGGGTAAAAAATTATATGACAAAAAAGGAACATACTTACGATCAATAGATGATAATACAGGGTTGGATAATGAAAATGAAAGTGTACTAAATATTTGTTTAGATACAATAAAAGAAGGGTGCTCAGTATTAATATTTTGCATGACAAAAAATAGATGTGAAAGTCTAGCACAAAGTATTGCATCCATATTTTTTAAGTTGGGATGTACAAATAATGATATAGGTACAGTTTTAAGAAATCAATTAAATACAGAAAAGATTGCAGAAGTTTTAGAACAACTTAAAAATTGTCCTGTTGGTTTGGATGATATTCTAAAAAATATTGTGTCATTTGGTGTTGCTTATCACCATGCAGGTCTTACTTTTGACGAAAGAGACATAATTGAAGGTGCATTTAAGTGTGGTGCCATAAGAGTTTTAGTGGCGACATCTACACTCAGCTCTGGTGTTAATCTACCCGCAAGAAGAGTTATTATAAGAACACCTGTATTCCAAAGACAACCTTTGAATATTTTAACTTATAAACAAATGATTGGTAGAGCAGGCAGAATGGGCAGAGATATTAAAGGGGAAAGTATACTTATATGTACGGAGGCTGAGAGAAAAATAGGTCAAGAATTAATGGTAGGTGTTTTGAATCCTGTTAAAAGTTGCATTGAAAGTGAGGACAGATATATGAGGGCCGTTCTTGAAATTATTGCTAGTCAAGTAACATGTACAGAGTCAGAATTAAATCTTTATACAAAATGTTCTTTATTATTCAACCAAGAAAAGAAGAGACAGTCACAAATGTTACTATTGGGAGAAACTTTAGACCAATTAAAAAATTATGAACTGGTAAGAGTTCAGGAGGATGGTAATGAGATTCAGTATGTAGCTACTTCTTTAGGCAAAGCTTGTTTATCATCGTCAATGGCTCCTAATGATGGACTGTCTTTATTCTGTGAACTGCAGAAAGCTCGACAATGTATTGTACTAGAAAATGATTTACATCTAATCTACTTAGTGACACCATACAGTGTTAGCAGTCAGTGGAATGATATTGACTGGTTACATTTATTAACTTTATGGGAGTCCCTAACTAGAGCAATGAAAAAAGTCGGTGAACTAATTGGTATACAAGAAAGTTTTATAATACAACGTTTAAGAGGAAGTAATCACGCGAAAATCGATCAAAAGAAGCTGAATATTCATAAAAGGTATAGTTTGTTGATAATTGATTGATTAATTTATTCACCATATCACTCTGTCAGTACAAAATTGCCATAGATCACACTTTACAGTTAAAAATTAATGATGGATGGATGTTTCTTTAAAGGTATCTCCAGAATATCTGAACAGATCTTGATGAAATATGGCATATTGATGAAATGACATATAGAACATAGTCTGGAAGAATACATAGGCTACTAATTATGTTTTTTTAATTCCGAGAGGACGGAGTCGCGGGCGACTACTAGTCATACATATTTGTTTAAAATAACAATATGTTTTAGGTTTTATACAGCATTGGCTTTGCAAGATTTAGTAAATGAAGTACCATTGTCACAAGTAGCGGAGAAATTTCAATGTCCTAGAGGTTTCTTACAGGGACTACAACAAGCTGCTGCTACATTTGCAGGTATGTAAGTAATTTTTGGCAGTTTTTAATTTTTGTTTACATGTCTAGCTAGAATTTTGCTTTTAGGAATGGTAACAGCATTTTGTCATCAATTAGGATGGAAGAATATGGAATTGTTAATATCCCAATTCCAGGATCGTCTACATTTTGGTATACATTCAGAGTTAATTGAACTGATGAAGTTGTCATCGTTAAATGGGATAAGAGCTAGAGCACTATTTGATAAAGGTTTTGAAACGATATCAAGCATAGCTTCAGCAGATGTAAATACGATTGAAAATATATTGCTAAAAGCGGTCCCATTTCAAAGCGAAAAAGAAAGAGATGGTGACGATCAATGCGATTTAAAAAAGCGCAATAAAATTAAAAATATTTGGATAACTGGTTGTTGTGGTATGACAGCTAAAGAGGCGGCTTTAAACTTTATCCTTGAAGCGAGAAAATATTTACAAGAAGAAATTGGTGTAAAGGAAATAAAATGGAACGAATTAGAGAATAAAACCAATTACAGTGATTCAAATTCTAATTGTAATAATTTTTTGAATTCGCAACAAAATAGCAAACAAACCAATGGTACAAATGGCCATATAATAGCTGAAAATGTATCTAGTCCTCAAGAAAAAAATGGCATTATAACAGATTACGAAAATAATAAGGACAAGAATTTAAAGAATAATATTTCCTTGTTATCAAATAAAGGAGTACTAATAAACGATAATGTAGAAAGAACGGCAAACGCCAAACATTCCACTCAAGAAAACAAGTCCTTGAGAAAAGAAAAAATTGACCAAGATTGCCTAGAAATTAAAGATAGTCCTATAATGAACAATATCAAATTTGCTAGAAATGATAGTCCGTCCATATTAAAAGATGATATAGTATGGGAATCTCTTGACTTTTCCACTGCACTGAACAATGTATCAAAATTGAAGGCATCCGATAAAATAATGTCACCAGAAATTAGTTTTGGGGATAGTGAATTGAATATTGCTATTCCAGAAAATGCCAATGAAAACAAATTGTTAAAAGACATGTCTGCCAAAGATGCATCTACCAAAGATGTTAGCTTATTTTCATCCGATGAAAGCGGATCCAGTTTTTTTGATGAGACATTACCAATCGACCTTTTGCCGACTACATTTAGCAAAAGTGAGGATAATAAAAATACAAGCCTCAATGATGTTACAATTGACTGTCAGTCAATATTAAACGCGTTTACATCTTCCATCGCAGTGGCTGATGACGACGACGATATTAAATTAATGTACGAAGAAGATAGAAAGGAACTGAAACCAGGCAATCTAAATATCTCACAAGCTGTGGAGATTATTAATTCCCAAGATGCAGTTAAAATCTGGGATTATAAAAGTCCCCTTAAACGACAAAGTCATAGATTAAATGAGCTACAGCAGCCATCAAAAAGATTAAAAAAAGACACAGATGATATAAATTTTAATATAATTACTTTAAAATGTAATCGATCTAAAAAAATAAGCTTTGAAATAAGACAGAAAGTTATTAATTGTTATATTTTGAGAGAAATAGACTTGATAGAATATTTAGATAAAATAAAATCGTATCATAACGCTTCTATATACTTAGATTTAAATGAATCAACATCAACTATTGAAATAATAGGAAGTAGTATATTTAAAAAGTTTGATGATTCGCATAAAGGGAACATTATTACTAATATAAACGCTTTAAAAGGAATAGCGATGTGCTTTAATAAAGATCTATGTGTTTACTTTGATTTTACTTCTGTAACGGAAAGATTTTACGAAATTAAGAAAAAAATATCTTATTGGTTGAGTATAGACTCTTTAAACCTGAGCTTGCTGTCGTTGAAGACAACTTATGCGCATTTAAAACGTAGTTTGGCTGTAGATTTGAATACGAATTGTACAGATTTGTCATTAGCTGAATGGTTAATACAGAGTGATGAAAAAATTCCTGACATCAACGATTTGGTAAGCTTGTTAATTTTCTCTTACTTCTTACTTTCTTTTGAATGTAAAAGATAAGATGGATGGGTGTATATATGTTACCTCTTTACTCTGTAAAGGCTAAACGGATCTGGATATACGTTGGCATAGAGATAAAACATAGGAATAGGGCATAATTTGTTAGGGCGTAATTGTCGGTTTTCATGGTATATACTCTTTGAATTCTATGCGAATTGTCTCGCGGGCTACTAATAACTAACTACCTTTTTATATTTTAAAGGGATGTTATACATATGATGTTTTTCTTTATAGATGAGAAAATATTGTGATATCGATTTGTCGACAGAAATGTTAAATATTGGGAATGCACAAAAGAATCTTAAAAGCGCTGACTGTATAGAGAGTGCTTTATTTAAAGCATGGTGCACACAATGCATAAGTGAAAAGCAAAAGGAGCTTCTTTTGAAGCAATATCAAGACATCAACAATATAGCAAGTTAGTTTATTATTTTATTACGTGAATAATTACATTTTGTTTGAAGTTATTGTAGGTATATGATACGACTATAAAATAAGTCATTGTATAATTCAATAAAACGAATATACGAGATATCATTCGATTTTAATAGTATAGTTAGTTGAGTTGAGTTAGAGTTAGTTGTAAATTTTATTAGTGTTTGTCTCTAGAGCAATCGAGATCTCTACGAGCGTAGTGTCCAGCATATAAATGATAAAGTCTAAAAGACTTGATATCTAGAACCCGAGATACTATAATAATAAATATTTTTATTGGAAAATCTTTGATTAAATCACGATTCTTACGAAGAATAATGTATTTATCTATGGATTCTTCTGGCGAATTTTTAAAACTTAAGGTTTGGAGTCTCGAAATATAAGAACGTATCGTCATTTAGTTTTGAAAGAAACTCTTACATAATATAGTACTAACTTTGTTGTTTTTTTTTCTAGTTGGCTGAATCTTATGTTCTGTTGTCATTATGCCGTTTTTTATTTTTCTTTACCAGAGTTACTTTGCCTTACAGATGTAGAAACTTATGTTGCAAGGATTTTAGCGAATTGTGAACACCACGGTCTTGCGGTTGACAGAGATCTGGCCGCAAAGCTTTTGATTGATGTGAAAAATACACAAGAAATATTAATGAAGAAGGCTTATAAAATATGCGGATACCATTTCAATTTGAATTCGTCGAAAGATGTCGCTAAGGTGATTGTCTATATGTTTGTGGGTTTTGTTACTATGAATAGTATAGCTGGACCAGAAATAAAAAAAAGTCTTGTCGTATCGCGGAAAACGCTGGAACTTATTTCTTTAAGCACATTTGCTTTGCACGATATCTATATTCTTGGTTTGACTATAACACTTTCAATGCCACTGATTTGTTACTTTACTTTTCGAAGTACTAGTGGCATGGAACGTGTTAACTTTTTATTCAATAGAAGAGTTAATTTCAGGTATTAGGCTTTTATAAAGGTAGAAGAGTAAGTACAAAGAAAAGTGTACTAACCGCACATAACAGTCCTTTGGCCAGTATTGTTATTTATTGGAGGAATTTGAACGCAATATTAACTAAAACTTTATACCCGTTGACTGAGAAAGCAAGCAATTACTCTACGGCCGACAGGTTTGTACTATATATAGGCAACTGAGATTTTTAAAAAAAGGAGATAATTTTTTACGAGTTTTTTGTTCGTGAAAACTCGAAGTTTCATAGGTTCTTGGTCTCGACGTATTCTTTTATAGGCAAGGCATTTTATTTTATTTTCAATATCATCTGTTAGGTATTAAAAAACTAGTAATAAATATATCCTATGTTACTCAGTGATAATGTAGTTTTCTTACGGCAGAAGAATTTTTAAAATCGGTCCAGTAGTTTTTGAGTTTATTAGTTACATACAAAAATACAAAGAGAATATAGTCATAAATGTGGTCCCCATTTGATATAAATGTGAAAACTAAGTTGTTGGTTTTTTTTAATACAAAAAACAAACTAAAGTAAAAGTTTTTACAAAATCCTTTTATATTTAGTATGAAAACATTTTAGAATTGTCTTAACTCATATCATGCATAGTATTCGAAAGCGTGAGTGGTAAGCGAGTCATGAATACGACATTGTTTTCAGAATAAACCCCTCCTACACAATGCACACTTGCACCGGCCGTATAACTATGCGAGAGCCGAACCTACAAAATGTACCCAGAACGTTCTCCATTCCCGTCAAATATCTTACAATGACAAACGAAAATGACCTTTCCACCGACGTGATAGAGTTCAATTGTAGAAACGTGTTTGTAGCGACGCCGGGATGTGTTTTCGTTTCTGCTGATTATTGTCAGTTGGAAATGAGAATACTCACCCATTACAGCTGTGACCCTGTTTTGACGAAGATTATGAGGTCTGATGTTGATGTTTTTAAAGCTATAGCTGCTTCATGGAGCTGTTTACCAGAGGAAGAGGTAAATTAATTTCGAAATATAATCCAAAATTAAAAAAAAAATAATTAAAAATGTATCTTATGTGTGTTTTTATTCTTAGGTTGATGACGATCTCCGTCAGAAAGCTAAACAGCTTTGTTATGGAATCCTGTACGGTATGGGCAATAGGACTTTGAGTCAACATCTTGACGTCACAGAAATGGAGGCTGCAGTTTTCATGGACTCATTCTATAATACATATCCCTCTTTAAAAATGTTCAAACAATCAATTATAGATGCCTGCAGGGAACATGGTTTTGTTGAAACTTTAAAGAAACGTCGAAGATATTTACCTGATATTAAAAGTAATCTACCACATAAAAGAAGTAAATATTATTCATATTTATAATATAACTAGCAGTCGCCCGCAACTCCGTCCGCGTGGAATTAAAAAAGACTTAGTAGCCTATGTGTTTTTCTAAGCTATGATCTACCCTATCTACCTACCCTCGGAGCCTACCCTTAACTTAGGGTAGGTTCCGAGCCCCTCGGTGGGGACGTATAGTGAGATGATGATGATGATGATGTTCTACATCTATGACAATTTTTAGCGAGATAGCGCGCCGTTCCGGAGATACCTTCAAATGCATGGATGATGCATCCAAACACTCACATTTAAATATGATGTTTGATATGAAGACAATTTATTCAATTACTTGATTCATTCCAATATTTTTTTCTATGTTTTTTTATGATTTTTTTTTAATTCAGGTGCAGCGGAACGTCAAGCAGTGAATACGACGATTCAAGGCTCCGCAGCAGACGTCGCTAAAGCAGCTATGTGCGCTATAGATAAAACACAATTTTCTCATATAAAACCTCGTCTTATATTACAATTGCACGATGAACTTATTTATGAAGTACAAGAAGAATATATGAAAGATTTCTCGAAAGTTCTAAAACGAGTTATGGAAGATACAGTATGTTTAAATGTTCCTTTACCCGTTAAAGTGAAGTCAGGAAAAACTTGGGGTACACTCAATGAAATAAAGGTTTAAATCTAGACTGATAATATAATGAAATTTAAAAATATATAGTCTGTGATATTTAATATAGCTCACTTTATGATCATGGAATGTAATTTATTTTGTTAGTTTATTTCAAATAAAATGTCATATTATCTTACCATTGTGTTTTATTTCAATTACGTCATTTCCATATCTTACTTCTTACTAATATTATAAATGCGAATGTTTGGAAGGATGTCTGTTTGAAGGTATCTCCGGAACGGCTGTAAGGATTTTGATGAAATTTGGCATACATGTAGAGTAGTGTCTGGAAGAACACATAGGCTACTAATTATGTTTTTTTAAATCCACGCGGACGGAGTCGCGGGCGACAGGTAGTTGTGTATAAATCTCATGCTTATACCATTAGATAACTTGCTTTTATTTTTACATTATATATAATTTTGTTGAAATGAAAATAACGTCATAACAGAAATTGTAGCATGTGTTATTTCCTTAAAAGAAAGGCAACAAAAAAAAACTTTGATATATTTGTATATGTTTTTTTACTAATCTTCTTTCGATCAGAATCAATCGATCAAATTACATTACGCACTGTCACTTCAATATCGTTAGCCTACGAGATGGCTTCGTATACTATGTTATAACGCTACGGTAACGAATAGGATATTACAAAATCAATGCCAAACGATAAGGTTCGATTAAAATTATGATTTATAGCCCATATTAATGTCAACTATGTTCTGTGGTCCATGTCTGGACTTTTACCCCACGACCGATATTCGATTCTTCGATTTAAAAAGTCGCCTTTTTATTGTGTTATAATAAACATAGAAATACGCCTTTATACACTTTCATCGAGTGGAAAGGGGCAAATAATCAGGGTTATGAATATTATAAAATGTTATATATAAAATATTAGAATGGAAGAAAGGCAATGCTGTAACGAGTATAGCCATTGTAAATCTCAACAATTGTTGTGCAAAATACCGGATAACAACCCGCATTATCCTTCTGTAGATAAAAATGACTCGTGAGTAAGAACCGAGTTTGGGAACTCAAACGGTAAGAGAACAGTTTGAGAATGACTGCCTGCCCGTCTATTTTATCTGAATATATTTATAGGAGAGGTTAAACATATTTCAAAAGCTCTCGTACATTTTAATTGAGTTAAGTGCTTTGCGATAGTTAGGACCATCGTTGTCAGAAAAAGTAGTGTAACTAAAGTGTACAGTTGCTATTAAAATTTAAAAATCTTTACATAATCGTTACCTAGATTTAACTCGGATTTAAGTAGTTTTGTACTAAATATATTCAAACTGTTTAAAAATTCAGTTACAGAAATTCAGTTTGAATCTAATCTAAGCGCCATCTCCGAGCGATGTCCGAAGGGTTTGGTTTTCAGGCGGGCGGAAAACGACGCGAGAGGGCGCGGGGTGCGCTCCGCAGCCCTGCGCACAATCAATACCCGCTCCCCGCACGTCCACCACCCCGCGCGCACCCGAGCCTCGCTTGTCACCCTGTCAAGACAACCGACCGCCCCTCGGCCGCTCGGCACGCATACTCGCTACTATCTGACACCGTCGCGTTTCTAATGCAACATATCGGAAAATGTGCTTGCTGATTGACTCAGAAAAATACACAAGTATAATCAAGGCAGTATTTAAACTCGATTCTCATTCTGTACAATAGCGATGTCTCAAGTCGAACAGGTGTGAAAACTACTCCAAAATGCATCTTCATTTCGAGCGTAATGTTAACGCTAAATGCGATTGTACTATACTGTCGTTGTCGTGGATGGGAAAGGTGCCCGACGAGTTGCCCGAGGTACGTGCCAACTTTTGTTACTATATGCCTTCTACGTTATTAGTTTTGCTAGTGAACTATCCTTTATGACTTGGCAATAATTAAAAACTTATCTAATTATAACCTTAATACAGTAACCTAGTAAACTATTTTCATTTCAATTCTACTTGATATTTCATAGTTTTACAATTATTTGTATTTAATGTGATTATTATTAAATTGTTTATAATCTGTGCTATATTTCAATGTAAAAGTTGTATTTTTCATCATAGTATGTACCTTAATATTTTCAGCTTCATTAGGCGCCGCGGCAAATGGTAATGTTTGCAGAAGATATTTTAAACGGTGTACTTTATTATCTCGTTACGTATTCAATGAAAAACAAATGAGCTGAATTCTGATTTAATATTATTCTTAAGTTACAACAAAAATATCCTCTTTTATCATTTTTAAAATATTAGCTAAAACTCTATATCTTTTTGCAAATATCATACAGATTAGAAAAATTAATCCTAACATAGGCTAATGAGAAATTTACGCTTGAACCCTATATTTAATTTGTTTGTATATTTTTTGTTCAAATTCAGTTTAAACGAGTAATAAATCCGATCACATTCACAAGATTTGTGGATTCATATTTTAAAATACAAAAAACAAATTAGTTGAAAATCAAATATGTTAAATAAAATTGGAACATCCCCTTTGGGATAAAGTTATCTAGCCGCCAGATTTCGAGGTCATCTTAGTTATATCCCAATTTAAATTCTCATATCTGTGTAATAAATATAAAATAGATTAGCGGGTATTAGTGAGTTCATAGGTTTATTATTTTGCTGATCGAAGCGCATTAAATTTCCATTATCATCAGCTTAGATTGAAAACAATTTGACGGTGTCAAAGTAATTTGGAAGGGAATTTGAGGACGGATAGCACGACAACCCTTGAGGTCGGTACCTAACAGTTGAGGTCAACAATTCAATTAACCTTCCTGCACTTTAACGTTGGACCGATTTGACGACATTCCTATTCAATTTCTAGGTTTGGTTGGGAGAAAAAAAAAGAAAATTCAGAAGTTGATTTGTCACTTGACCTATTTTCAATTTGCTTTAAAGACTAGACTCAATTTCCGAAGGGTTTTATAAATTAATCCTGATTACTATAGTCATTAAAGTTCATGTAGTACTGAAAAAATTTATTAAATAATTAATCAAATTAGAAGAAACATGTATTTGATATGAATACGGAGGTATGATCAATACGTTGTATTTAGGATTATTTTATATTTACTGTTGATGATTAGTGCCACAATTTATGTTTTGTGTATTTTTTACATTTACTCATTGTACTCAATGTTTTTTTTAATAATCTAGCCGTTAATGGAAACTGCAAAACAAAACATGAAATTTCCAATCAACATCCTTCGATTTATCTTTTTATATTTCACCAGTGAAAACTGATGTTAAGAATGACGTAACTCAATCTAAGAAAGCTGTTTAACGCGACATCAGATCGAGGTTTGTTTGTTTTATTAAAATGCCTAATGGTATTGATAATAAATAAACACCGTGTTTGTTTTAGGCGAAGACAAAATGTTTTATTAGTAAACGCATGTTTCGGTATTAGGTTTTGACCTGATCATGAACATCACGACAAAGCTAAAATACAAAATAAAATTTACATTAGAATGCATACATTATCTTAGTTGAAGAAAATGCTCAAAATGCCTTTTACTTTTAGGTACTTTATAAAATTAAAAAAAAAAACTTTGACAGATAACCTATATTAATATTATAATGTAACAAACTAATGTAATAAGTCTTGCCAAAATACTAAGTATATCTGTGCCATTCCCGACTATCAGAAATCATCATACAAGTACACATCAAAGAACGACAAACTTACTTACGAATACCTATTGTTGGTGACTAACTCAGGCACCCTAGGTATATCGATAGACGGGAAGCCCCTATTTAATTACCGACTATAGTGTACACAACTTCGTTACATTTAGTCAACTTAAAAGGGTCTCTTGTAGCTACTTTAAATTCATTAAATTGTTAAATCTTTCCATAGTAAATTTAAAACTATTGAAATTTATCAAATGGCATTTTCTAACCAAATTACTACGTTTAATAGAACATAAAAAAAACAATTACTTTTAGGCATTTGAACGTTCTATGTTCCAAACAAATTAAACACAAATTTTCGGTAGAATTAAAAAAATATTGGTTGATTAATTAATTGTTCACGTTACTTTGGCTTAACTCGCACAGATTAGTTAGCTTAGCTTAGTTTCTAATTAGTTTAGTTGACGATGAATGATCGGCTTTATAATAATTTAAATGATGCAACTAATGTTGCGTTTAATCATAAATTGCTTTCAAAATCATGTTTAATATATAAAAAGGTTCAATTTATATCTGTACTAAATTACAGAGACATCTCGTACCAGTTGACTTGAATTTATACTATTTATATCGTTGTAGTCGTTAAGCCATGTTTCCAAGGTTTAAGTAAGTCGAGAAGTTAGCGATTGCCTGCGTTGGCTGCTTGCCCGAACACAAAACTAAATAAAAAAACCTTCTATTTCAAGGTAATATGTAAGCCATTTTAGTAAGATTTAAGAATAAAATAGTAGTTAATAGTATAACGTAGGTGGCTCAGAAGTCAAGCACTTGAGTTGCAATCTACAGCTCCTGGGTTTGAATACCGCCATGTACCAATGTGTCTTTAGGTTTCCAATTTGCATATGTACATTTATCCGATGTTCTTACGGTGAAGGAATACATCGTGATGCAACCTGCACATATCTGAGAAGAAATTCAAAGATATGTGTGAAGTCAACCAACCCGCACTTGGCCAGCGTGGTTGACTATGGCCTAGTCATCCCTAACTTAGGGTAGGTCCCGAGCTCCTCGGTGGGGACGTGTAGTGAGCTAATGATGAGTAGTGTTGTAATTAATTTAATTCTGAACTTAATCAGGTTTACGTGATACACAATTTATCAATGTTGTACGTCTATGTATAAATTTAGGTAACCCCTTTGTTTTCGCTCGTCAGTAGTTGTTATGAATAAAAAAATGTTGGCCTTAATGTGGGGTGCTAAATCTTTGGAAACCATTACCTAAAGCTCTTTGAAGTCTACAAACAAATATGGTTATGACCTTTGACCGATTTCTGTTACGTTGCTTTGATCCTTGTTGGACAAGGTTTTTTACGATTAACAAGGTGTAGATTGCTTACCCTTCCGAATTCTGTAATTTGAACATATTATGAAGGTTTTATTCAATTTAATACAACAATTAAATAAAATTAACGAATAAGTGTATAATAATGTCAATTTTACCATGGGTATTTTTATTACCAACATATTGTCAACCTAGCCTTTCACTTTGAATAACTGGTCATCTTTAATTTTTTTTAAATACCGATGATAATAACGCTAAAGTAAATTTTTAATGTTTTTAAATTGGTATTTTCTACTCATTTTAACGTGTTACTTAACCAGTTACTTGCAAATTGTAAGTGGCATGAAATTCGATTTACATTAAGCATAAGCATTTAGTGAGGCCAAGGCCGAATTGTTATAACATTATAGGTAACCATGATTTTAATAGTCGTAGCACACGTGGCGGAAAACTATTGTTATCTCTGTTTTATTCAAAGAAAACAAGTGAGACGGCAATGTTGTAAATCGGGTGGTACGATGGTGGAGACTCACCGTAATACTAATAAACTAAATCAGTATTCAAATATTATTGACCAAACGTGGCACTTGTTACTGAGGCTTAAACCTGAATTAATTCAGGCCATAGTACTTAGGCAGAGAAGTGTCGGTGGTATTATTTATTTATCGATATAATTACATTTTCAACCGAAATAAAAGGTAGTAAAGAAATTAATTTTTAACTTTTTAATTTTATTGATCCCCTTTTAATATTAAAAAAAATAAAGGTAAGAATAAGTTATATATTTTTGCGTTATGTAACGTTCCCGTAGAACGCGTTACGCTGAACGATATTTCAAAAGTTTAGGCTTTATTCAATAAAGATGATAGTCATTATCTTTTCATTGGTCGAGTTAAAACTATGTATAACAGCTTTTTTGTTTACTTTTACGATAATTAAAGTCTAACTAAACAAAGGCTTAATGTTACATTCCCCCTTTAAACTCAGTCTTACGCAGATTATGCTAGGCTGGGTGTTGTTTATAAAGCTATTAACGAACAGGATTCATTTCGTTAAACAACCTGGGGCCCCGTTCCCGTGCTCGATTTTCTAACCATGCGATTCGTTATTTATTTTGTTGAAAGGTTTCTCTTATAAATTTTATTTAGATCACGTTTAAAATGGCTGACGATTCCATGGCAATCATGTCACGTTTTATTTGATACAATTTGAAGTAGCATAACTATCGTTTTTGTAACATAAAAAACAGTCCATTTGCTTTATAAACCTTGTTTAAATTTGCAGTACATAGCACTTAGACCGCTGATGAATCTTCGACTAAAATTACTTCAAAGAAATTAATATTGTGGAACATGAATAAGTGAGAAACCTATATAAGCAAGAGTTAGTCCGGCACCTACGGACAACCTCCATAAGTGAGAAACCCCTGAAAAAGAGAAAACCTCTATAAGCGAGATAAATCAACGCGGTACCTTTGACTTTTGCTTATCCAGGTTCGACTACAGTCGCTCTTTTTACACCTTTTTGAAATTTATAAAGAAACTTGTAAGTACTAAAAAATAACTGAAAATAATTAAAATAAACGTACCATTCTGTAGATTTGCAATTCATTTAGTCTTATTACTGGCTGCTTGATGTACAAATTAATTACTAAGTAATTAAAGTGAAGGTAATAAAATAAAACATTCAAGGAGTAGTACATAAAATTAAAATTAATGTTTCTCCATTCGTAACTTGAAACATCTAAGTAAAGTATCATTCAATTAAATTTAAAAAAAAACCTTTTTTAATTTTCTTAAATGAATTACAATAATCGCGGTTTTCTTCAGATACAAACAATCCTGAAAGGAAATCATTTCTTATGGAATGAAATTATATGGAAATTTCAATTTTACCATTATTTTTCACTCGGTCGATTAATAGTGGGTGTCTGAGACCAAAGTATCCGATTAAAACATATTGTTAACACTTTTTTTTACTTGATTATAGAGATTTAAGTGTCAGAAAACCACGGTTAATGAAGCTTTAAAAAATGTCCCTTTAAAATATAAATCGTATTTCCGAAGTTCCCTTGGGTCTGCGGCGTCGGTCTTAATTGGCTCGATGAAGGGGTTAATGGAAGAGCCTGCATCGGTAATACCTCGCTAATTGGCAATTGCAACTTCCATCTCCGGTCCGTATGTCACTCCTTTTTTGATGACATATTACATTACTGTATTTATCTTTCATTTCATCCCTTAACACAAGGATATATGTTATGCTAAACTAGGTTTTTTAATCTATGCAAATTAAATTGCGCTGTTTTTAGTGAGGTATAATAATTTAGGATATTTGCGATATAATAAGAATATAATGTGAGTAGAAAAGGCCCTTGTTTTGATTCTAACTACCTTAGAATGTTCGTTCATTCAGAATTTTACAACACTAGACATTTTACGAAAAATCACAAAAAATGTCAATGAAAATTTTTTTTTTAAAATGTCTCCGTAACGCAATAAAGTTACTGACAATTAGGTGATTTGATAATTTCATTGTCCAGATACGTTTTGTTACTTTAATAAAATCGGTTTTTAATCAGCAAGGATAAAAAATAGTAATTTCAGGAAAGAAAAAAACATAATGTGCATCTTCGTAAATAACTCCGCTATCCTAAATTGCAATCTCCATTGTTTGTTCCCGGACACAATGGCCGCTGGTTACTGTCAGCTTCGTAACGCCTGAGTGAAATAAGTTGTTTCCACACAAATTTACTTGACCCACGTCGACAGTAAACCGACCCCTGTCAACCTATATTATAATATTTTATATGATGGTTATTTTATGTGGCAAGAATATTGTTTATAACTCGCATTTGTTTTAATTGTGTATGTTCTAAGCAAAACAATATTTGCATTTTTCAGCTTATGTGTGTGTGTCTGTGCGTGTATGTCTGTGCGTGTGTTGTGTGTGTGTGTGTGTGTAATTTAATCAATAAAATCTTTAGATGTTTTAATGAATAAGTACAACTTATCTTTATTTAAGTACAAAAATCTGGATGACCGTACGAATAAGTACGAATTACTAATAAAATGAAGAAATGTGAATAATATTTTTCGATCTTACCGATAGAAAAAGTTAAGTTTATGTTTAAGTTGATTATCGATAAAACACGAATAAAATGACATTTTCTAAAAATGATTCCTAGCTACCGGGATATTATTTGCGGTTCCCGGAGGATGCCAATCAATCTGGACCGCACCAGTTTTATGTTGGGCCGCAAACGCTTAAAGGCTTTCAAGCATCAAATTAGGGAAATTGAGCACCGTAACATCTTTCAATAGAATATTTTTCTACTGTTTGTCTTTCATACAACCAGACAAAATGTTTTTTTCTTTCATGTAATATTAATAAAGTTTTTAATAACAGCTTGAATGTGGGATACTTTAGCCATAGAATTTGTAGTGTGTTTTAGCGGCCAAAATATGTCTTCGATCAGAAATGCGGTTTTAATTACTTGCTTTTTATTAAATGGAGTAAAATATATTTGGTTAAGCTCGAAACAATATATCATCTACCTGAGATCTTTCGGTTGGGTAAATTCGAGCCAAAATATGGTCTGAAGACGAATATTGATTTCTGAATAGTTATGTTTACTTTGTTCGATTGAAGTCTACACTAGTTTTCCATAGAACCATAACGTAGTATTGTAGAACTACACAATCTACTGGATTGTTTGTCTAACCTCATAATAAACGAAGTACCAGCACGAGCCGAGGTTCCCGGGGGCGCCCTCGAGCCTTGCTACTCTTAAAGGGGTTTAGGGTGGCTCTGAGTACGATACACAACCACGAGTTGTTTTAGTTATTCATTCATACCATGCTAAAGTTATAGTTATTTTAAAATTGTCACATAATTTTTGCAAGTCAAGGTCAAGTCACAGTCAGAAATGCAGACGCGCAGTGGCAATTTATTTGAGTGATTTGAATACCGAGTCAAAACTTGTTACTAAAATCACTAAACCTCCCTTTTTATTCTAAAGGCATGAAAGATACTATAAAAACCTTACTCGATAGTATTTAAAATAAACACTACAAAGATAGCAATATTGTATTGCGTCAGATGAAAAAAATAACAAAACATATTATATTCAAAAGTTTTCAAAAACAAAACGAATGGTATACAATTTCACAAAAAGTATTCCCTCAACTTCAACTGTAGACGAAACTCGACTTAACGAGTTGGGGATCGACTTCGCATTCCAAGTGGTTCGTAGCACTTTGATCGTTAAGGTAATTTGAACCTTTTGCTGTAGGAGGAAGGATGGAAGCTGAATCGTAACAATTACTACCAAGAGGGTTGGTTGGCGACGGGCAACGTGCGTGGAGTAGTCGGCGTTACTTTCACGTCTTCACACGCGAGACGGCCACACGAACTGCCTTTGCGTACAAACTACAATCTACGCGGACATAGATCTGATGTGAGTATACCAAGAGAAAATAACAAGAACTGCAAATCTTCCCTCGGACATACGTCGCCAGAATACTCAGCTCCAAAGGCATTAAGAATAAACTGGTTACAAGTTCAATGATGATATAAAACGATGATGATGATAGAAAATAGATAAATCTTAAAAAATCACGAGTAGTAGATAGAATAAGATTTCATGATATAGATGAATAAAATTATACTATTTATAAATGCCTACCTTCATTGTATTTTTTATTTTGGAGATTGTTCGACGTAACTTTGTTTTTAACATCCGTTTTCTTCAAGGTAATTCTGGTGAAATGGAACGAGCCGTACCAGAAGTTGGCATCGTGCGACAGTTCAGGAGTGATCTTCGTGTGGATCAAGTACGAGGGTCGCTGGAGCATCGAGCTTATAAATGACAGGAGCACACCTGTCACTCATTTCTCCTGGTCCCATGATGGTAGGATGGCACTTATTTGTTATCAGGTAAGTTCTAATTTTGCTTATTTTACTAATATTAATATTCTTATCTTAGAAAAGTCTTAAAAAAACAAGGATCGGCATTCCACCATAGAAAATTGTAATTAAATCAACTCTCCTGTCAATTTTACTGACCGTGTAGACAAAAGAATTTTAGAAAAAACAAATTATTGTCCTCCTTTTTGGAATAGGTTAAACCGGGGTTCTAACAACCACAAAAAGTTGAATATCGATTAACTAGTAGTTAAATAAATTAATTAAGCTTATAGAGCCAGGACCAAAGCATGTACGAGTAATTAAGTTCGTATCGTATCATAATTAGATATGTTTAGGAAAAAAAACATTATATTAATTCAAGTAATAGGGATAAAGGAATATTTGCCCGAGGACTACTGAGTACCCTTCGTCAACACCGCCCCGGGAGACGGTATTGTAATTATGAAATTGTTTATCTTACCTCCCATAATAATCAAATTGTTCCTTTGTTTTCATATTGAAACGTGGCCAATAAATGTCCCTTTAGACAGTTATCAAGTTTGTTAGATTATTATAATACTATTCCATGCTTACCTTTGTGTTACCACTTAATTGACGTTGTCGTTTGCATGAAAGTTTAGCCAACATTTTGAATATTATTTTGCTCATAAATTCATCTGAATCGTAATCTTACTAATATTATAAATGTGAACGTTAAGATGGATGGATGTTTGTTTGAATGTATCACAAAAGCGGCTGCAAGGAACTTGCTGAAATTTGGCATAGATGTAGAACATAGTCCGGAAGAACATATAGGCTACTTATTAGGTTTTTTTTGTAATTCTGCGCGGACGGAGTCCCGGGCAACAGCTAGTTTAATATATTTAAATTGATAATCGCAAGACAGAATCTAAAAAATATAGTTTCCATTTAAAAGCTAAAATGAAAATGTTTAAATTCGTGTAAGTTATTCCGGGAATATTTAGTGACGCAAACTGTACGAAGCCTGATCCACGTGACATAAAAGGGCGAAAGGACAAGCCGACGAAAACATGTCTGCAATTTGCTAAAAGGCTTCCTGCGTACCCCGCCGTCCGCCGTCGACGTTATTTGACACTGTTGAAACGTACCCATCAAATATGCTAAGGTGAACTTGCTAAGGGCAACGTTACGTAAACTACTTTTTACTACTTTACTTGGGATTACACTGATTTAGATTTATTTTATACGTATGTACTTTTAATCAATATAATCTTTAGGTTTAATTCTATACTTAAGTAAAATGTTGTCGATCAAATACGTACGTAAATAAAATGTTTGTGAAAACAAATAAATGAACAATTTCTTTAAACACTGTCTTAGCTCATTGTTGTGTTTACCCAGTTTATCCTGATCTAAAAGCTGTTACATTAAGTTATTTCTTTTAATTTTCATAGGATGGCTTCGTGTTAGTGGGATCAGTGGCGGGTCAACGATACTGGTCATCGATGCTGTCGCTAGATGCGAGGATCACATGCGGCTGCTGGACACCTGACGACGGCCAAGTGTATCTCGGCACCGCCTCCGCTCAGCTCGTCGTCATGGACGTGCACGGTGCCATGGTGTCACAGGTTAGGGATACTTAACGATTATGAGTTAGTGTAAGTTTAATAAGAGAAAACTTGGAGTAAGTGCTTACATGAACTTTATAACGAGAAAATTTAGATTTTTCAAGTCTACATTGACTTACTATTTATTCCGTAACATTTATTTAATCGAAACACGTGGTGTTTAAGTCAACTTTCATTACTTACCTAGAACGAGTATCATTATCAGTGTTCGTCATCAGGTGCAATTGGTAGCTGAAGGAGGGATAACGTCGATGGCATGGTCTTGCGAGAAGTTCAAGATGGAAGAAGGCGAGGAGGGGAGCGAAAGCAGCGGTGGCCACGTGCTGGCCGTTGCGTTGGGCAACGGCGAGATAGTGTTGCTGCATGGCCACGATGACGTTAGCCCAGTGCGTGTGACTACTGGTCTCAGAGGCAACACACTGGCCATGGAGTGGGCTAATTCACGGGAGCTGCTCGCAGTTGCGGGGACGTTGAACGCAGGTGAAATATATCTATGTAACCGTGTGAGGTACTGATTCCAGAAATATGTGTAAACCAAACCACAGTAGCATTTATAAGGTAACCGAAAGTAACAAGCAACCAATGTAAGCGTGAGCGTTTCAAAAGCTTCACCAATATCATAGTATCATAGTATGTGTTATTATAAGAACAGTCTCTATTCATTGTTTAAAGTTAATTAAATGACTAATTAATTAACGAAATTCGAAACGTTTTCTTGTAGCTTATTAAGGCTTCTTAGAAATGTTATAATATAATTAAAATACGTGATCTCAAAGTACCTTTTATATAAAGTAATCTTGCGTTATTAAACGTTTTATTAAATGTTTTTCAAAAGATCTTTATATAACACGGGAAATATTAATTTAGTCATCTCTTTACCATTTGCAAAACATAGCTGCCTATAAAAACTCTTTGCGCAATCTCAGATCTTTTATAATACGACTTGGGAAAAATGTCTGAGTATTTGAATATGAAGGGGAAAATATTACGGTTCGATAAAATCTAAAGTTCACATCACACCTATGATTTCTTCAACTCCGTCGGGATACCGTATGAATAATGCACACGCCGAGAAATATTTTTGATAAATGCAAGGTCCACCCCTGGCAGGATTGTGGAAAAGAATTCTATTATAAAATCTCTGGTTGAAGTTTTTTGATTTAGCAATAGTATTTATGTTAACGAAACTACTAACTATACCAAATTAAAACAAAAAATTACAGTCTCTATCATAACAATTGTATATTTAAACATAAGAAATGGTTGTGGTGCAATTCAATATACAATCGTAAATCCACAAAGAAAGCTATTTCTGGAAACTAAATTTGACAACCCTATAAATGACAGGAGCGGACTGGGCGTAGGTTTTTTTCAATCTGTAGGAAAGATTTACGATCACGGCTCACGGGCTCGTAAATTCTTCGTACACGTTTTATGTCTCGGCAGCGAGAGCGTCGCAACTATACAATAGCTCGTATACTTCGTCCGCGTGTACATATTGGACAGTAAACGAGACTTCTTTCATAATCTTTATGTAGCTTCGCATCAAAGGCACGAGGCAGGACGCTTTAATAAAGACGACGACGCAGTTTGAATGCTTCTTTAAGTCGTATAAAGTTGATTATTAAATGACAATAGTTTTTGTTTACAACTTAGTGAAGTTAAAATTTCCTTTATTTGGTTTAAGTATAGAATTTGTTATTTATAAAATAATTCATCCCTACCAAGGGCCATAAAACTCTGTCAAATTGCCAAAATGTTGTTTGTCATTTTGTTGTAGATCATAATTTATTATTTTAAGTATTACATAAAACAACTTTTTTTTATTAACGATTCGCGTGATATTGCTTTATTGTTCAGAACCCAACGAGGCTGCAGACGCGCCTCCGTTTAACAATGTGGTCAAGTTCTACTCGGACACGGGGGCGCTCATATACACTGTTCCGATACCATACACGCAGGTAACACTGATTTGTGACTTACGACTTGATCTGCAGCTTTATTTTGTCTCCGATTTTCAATATACATACAACAGTATAGTAAAATGTGCCACAGAAGTCTAATATGTTCGTGTTGGGTGCAGGCTCGAGTAAGTGCTCTGACGTGGGGTCACGCGGCGAGGCGGCTGTTCGTGGGCGTGGGCGGCGCGGTGTGTACGGCGCGAGTGTGGCGTGCGGTGGCGCCACTGCAGTTGCTGGCGCGCGTGCGGGCCGCGCAAGCGCTGCGACACGCGCGCCTCGCCGCTGCCCTGCCTCTCCCTCCCCGTCTCCAGCCTGCTCTCGCCAGCCTCTTCGCACATACAATACGGGTATATCCAAACACTTTGATGTCCAAGTAGGTGACATCACTTTGAAACGTAAAATAACGAGGTTTTAAGGTTCTTATTATATGCGGAATTCTATTGAAGAGGGCCTGGTACTTGAGACACAACCACTACGTCTCATTTTTTCTCCAAACTCCAGGAATCGAATCGAATTACCTTTTCATATTTACAGATTTTTTGTACACAACATAGATTTATTTTCTGCCTATCTGCTTTACTACCACTGCTACCAGCATCTTTTCTATTATTACTGACCTATAATTTACCACTAATTAGCTTAGTATATATTTGGTTGTGTCAGTGCAACGTGCCTGAGGCGAGCGAGCTGCGGCGGTTCGTGTCGCGTCCCCCGGGCGGGCGACTGCACTGCACTATGCTGCGACACGACGACGAGGAGGCGGGAGCATACACGCTCTACCTGGAGCACCTCGGCGGCCTCGTGCCACTGCTCAAAGGCCGTCGCACCAGCAAGATACGCCCCGAGTTCGTCATATTCGATCCACAGGCTGAAGGTACCATCACATCATAAATATACATATATATTTTCAATAGTTTTATTTTTCTAGAGTCACTTTGAAATTGTTTGCTCTCTTTGATTGTACTCAATGTACGAAGTGTTTTGTGCAGTGTGCACTGATGTCGCTGCGGGCGCAGTGAGCAGCAGCAGCAGCAGCAGCAGCGGCGCGGGGCTGGCGGGCGGCTCCCCCGCGCCCCGCACGCCTCGCCCCGCGCCCCCCACACCCCGCACCCGCACCCTGCCCGTGCATCACTCCTCCTGCTCCTCTGACAGCGAGAGAGAAGACGGTCAGTCTACCACCATACTTTTATCAATAACATATTTTTATACGGAACTTAGTAAACAAATGTTATTATCATTGTCTCTAGACTCTCGTCAACTTTGATTTAGCATTTGTTGGACGCGTCGCAAGTGTTACCTAAAATTTACTGATTGTAAATGATGTAACAAATTTTTATATCCTAATGTTCTGTAGGTTGTACAGGATCTCCCAGACTACAACGTCGCAGGCGCGCTCGAGAGAGGCGCAAGGCCAGGAAATCCGGAGAAAAGGACGACCCGCCTGACGAACTCGCGTATATTGACTCCTTGCCTGAGGTAAGCTACATTCTTTGTTTCATTTACGAATTTTATTGTGTTCTCATTTTTTTTAATACTTTCAGGATGTTCGTTTAGTTGAAGTCACATCGAATATTTGGGGCACCAAATTTAAAATGCACGGGCTGGCTAAAAATGTTCCTGCAAACTTAGGTCAAGTCACTTACAAAACGTCTTTGCTTCATTTGCAACCGAGACAAATGACACTAATGATAACCGAATTACGGGACGACTATCCCCTAGATCCCGATCCTAATTTTAACCCAAACATATTTTCCGAAGACGAGGAAGAAGTTTTTCAATCAAATGACTCGAGTTCGCCTTCCCATACAAATAATAACATTAGGCGTAAATTAACTATCAACGACCGAATCAATAATTCAAATAATGTTATATCTCAAAATGAAACCTATTCTAGTAATAACAATAACTCGAACCCGTCTATAGCGCGAGCGGAATCGTACGACGAATTCCCATACATAGATACAAATGATTCCGTCAACAACGTGTCGGAGAGCGTGTACTCGACGCCTTTACGGCACCCGGCGCCGGCGCCGGCGCCCGAACGGCGAATGAACAACGCGGCGGCGGTCTCCAACCGGCATGCAATCTCCCCGCTCAGATGCGAGAGCTCAGTTCCTACCCTACAGTCCCCAAAGAACGCTGTCGCACCGACAGATATCATTTTCGAAAGACCTTCCCCGCAAACGGTAACTTGCGGAGGTCGCGGAGATTTCTGCGGCGGCAGAACGGATTACAGTGTTCGCAGTGATAACGTTACCCTAAAAAATAATATGCCAAGCATCGAACAACAATCCTTCAATTTAAACCTTAGCGTAGAACCGAGTAGGCAAGTTACAATCAAAAAATGCGATAGCCACGTTTCGGACAACTGTCTCTCCAAGTTGCGCAAAAACATTTGCAACAGGGGTGAATCGGCGTCATTTGAAGTTAATACTAGAATACTGAAATCTTTGTGTAATAAAAACTTCGAGCACGAGGTTCACCCGGACGCCATGACGCGGCGCGCGGATAACATAAAAAATCTTCAAAAGGGTGAAGATTTAAAATTCATCGACGAGGAAACACCCATAGAAACCATGATAAACAATTTGAGCGAGAGACCTCGGGAGATGAGGGTGCAGAGAACGACGACGGTGGTACCCATCAGCCCGGTGTGCGCCAGCGTGCCCGTCTACGACACGATGACGCGCAGCTGCAGCGTAGGCTACCTGGATCTCGTCGATCCTCAAGTGCTGCGCGCTCACAGCATCACCACCCTGCGTGGCGAGCAGCCCCGGAGACTAGTCTTGGTGAATAACAAACGCCACAGAAGAGCGAGGCGACACTTTCGGGCGAACGACATCAAGCAAATGGAAACTAAAACGCCTAGCTTAAAGAAATGTGGGAAATCTCGGAGTCTCGATTCCGGCGAGCTATCGATAACGGTGGAGAAGTGTAAGAGACAGTCCCGGGCCGACAGTAACCAGAGGAGCGAGGCGGCGTCGGCTCACTCGAGCAGCCGCTGCACCAGCACGGGGGAAGACAACAGCGGCACGAGCACGGAGGAGGGCGGGGCAGGGGTTAGGGGGCGGCGCACGCGGCGCGACTACCCGGTGTGCACGCAATGTCGCCTCGTGTCGCCGTACGACCGGCGCGACGTGGACGCCGCCACCTACATATGCGTGGCGTGCAGCTCGCGTGCCGCCGCCCCACCCTCGCCTGCGCCACCGCCCGCACCCGTGCTCGCCACCGATAGCGACTCCGACTACAGCAAGTATTATAGTTAGTACATTAGTAGATGCTTTTCACCCGCCGCCCCCTACGAGATACTTCCACCGGTGAGGTCCACGAGTTTCTACTCGACAGTTTTGCTAGACGCGTCTTTCTTCACTAGACCCGAGCTTGGCCACCGCGCATGAATAGATCGACAGACGATTTCTCAAATAAATTAACAGTATTTTGAGAAGCTTAACTAGTTTATCAGAGCTTAACTACTTTCTCAGAGTCAAATTTATAACTATACGGTCTCTAGATATAAAATGTTTTGGTAGTTTTGAATGATTTGGCATGGTAAAATTATTCCTCGTAATCCGTAATTAAATTTAAAGCGAAAACCTACCAAAACTAAGTTGCTCAAAGCTTTTTAAATTAGACTTAAATTAAACGAATGCACTCTTGTATATGCATTAGTTCAGGCCCTCTGGTACTTTTCTAGGGCGTAGGAGTTTTACACCGCTTGACCAAATAATTGTGCCAGTTTGTGCGACCAAATGCGTGTACCTACACTTGCATTTGTGCAGTAATAACAGATTTCACTAAATGCATCATGCATGTTCGAAAATGCATCGTGATATCTTGTTACTTTGTAAATGAAACGCACTTAGCACTCACTCTTGTAAAGAATTTGTTAGAAGAACGAATTTGTTTATGCCCTCTCTTCTGTATATAGTTTTTTAAATATTTGGAATATTTCGTACCTTCAAAGAGATGGTAATTTGAACGAAAGTGTATGGTAACGAAAAAATTGTTTCGATATCTGTTATCTTCTTCGTGACTTAAGATCTACTGGCAACATACAGTTATCTTACCTATTGATATTTAACAGTATATTTCAGAGTCTTCTTCACTTTGAGGTTACGCGATATTCCATCAGGAACAGTTTATTAACATGTCCATCTCGTTAGGTTCACTAGAGCAATTGGCGCTGCGGCTCCTGGCCGCTAGAGGTCGCGGTGTGCGTGGGGGCGGGAGCGGTGGTGGGGGAGGGGCGCGCGAGGTGAGCTCTGCGCCCGCATCGCCCCGCCCCCAGCGGCCGCCGCGCGCGCAGCCCGCTACCGCATCCGCCGCCTCACCTGCCTCGCCCGCCTCCCCGGCCAGCACCCGACGCACGCGGTACTCCTCGGCCTCGCCTATACGGTAAATATATAGCCCAAAGAAGGGTTCTAAAAGACTGTTCTATTAGCGTAATTATGCCGACCTGTTGCTGTTTGTTATACAACTTTTTGTATTCCATCTACAGACAACTGCTGAACTCTCCACTGCTGAACCGGCGACGCAACAAGAAGCCGTCGGAGAGCTCGGACGACGAGTTCTCCAACGGCTACAGCGAGGTCAACGGCAAGAACTACAGAGACCTCGAGAGCTTCCAGAAGGCACAGCTCAGGAACAAGGTATAGTAATCAAGAAGACATTTTTATATTAAATTGTACTGGGACCCTGCAATAGTATGTAAAATATTATATTATAATATAATACTATATGTAAAATATTCCTCAAAATGACAATACATATTTTCCTACCAGAACTTAGCCAGCTAGTTTATTATTTGTGTGCAAATATAAGAAAATTACGCAGCTGAAGCGTGCGGGGGGCGTGCCGTCGAGTGCGGGGGGCGGGGCCGGTGTTGGCGGAAGTGGGGGCGCGGGGAGCGGTGCGGGCGGTCAGGCGCGCCGGCAGCTGCTGATGCACAACAAGGCTCCCATGTGGAATGAGAACAGTCAGGTGTACCAGCTCGACTTTGGCGGCCGCGTCACACAAGAATCCGCCAAGAACTTCCAGATCGAGTACCACGGGAAACAGGTAACATTAACACGATATTGTCTTAATTTATAGCTCTAGTATCAATAAAATTCAAAATTACATCGACTTAACACTAATTCATTTATTTACTACAGGTGATGCAGTTCGGTCGCATCGACGGCAACGCGTACACTTTGGACTTCCAGTACCCATTTTCCGCACTGCAAGCGTTCGCTGTCGCGCTGGCAAACGTCACCCAGCGCCTCAAGTAGACTACCGTCTAGCCGTAATGTAGCTTAGATCCCTTTTCCACTGAACTAATAGTCGGGCGACTGCCGCGACAATGGAAAAAGGGTCTTAAGAAACCACGAGTAGTATAGCTAATAACTTCTTGATGGCCCAATAAATGTTGAATACAAATAAAAAAAGATATAATCAAGCCTAGCACTACATTGCATATAATTCTGCTGCATAAACTTCACAAGCTATATACTCATAATTAATAATAATAGTTGGGCCTCAGAAGTGTATAGGAAATAATATTAATAGTAATAAATAACAGATGTAATACATTACTGGAATATGCTTTACAGTCGTGTCAACGGCGGACACCCATCCAAGTATTTTTACACAAACTTTAGATAGGTAGCTTTGTATATTCAATTGAGATCGGAATAAAGACATACAAAATAATATTAAGACAATGAAACATCCAAACCTAACCTAACCTAAAAATATGACAGAATGAAACTAAGGAAATAAAGTTAAAATAATGCCTTACCAATAGTACACAAATATTGCAACCGTATTTATTGGAATAGATTATAAATATTAAAGACTTTCACATCAAATTGTCACTCGTAAACTAAACTAGGGGCTATCCTAGAATAGGAAGTCTAGTCAGTTTGAAGAAATAAGTTAATTTTTATTTCAATTATAACTAATATTTCGCAAATTACGACTAATTTTGTCTAGCATCAATCATTATAATGTGTAACATTGTCTGAGCAGTAACTTCCAAGTAAAATCCAGTTAAAAAATATTTCGTTATTTAAAAAAAAATTGGGTCATAATTAAGACGCGTAATAATTAGTAGGTAGCAGGAAATGAAAGTTTGTATTTTTAGAGCGTATTTTTAACTTGATTTCAACTATTTCACGTTTTTTAAATGTTTAATTTGATTTTACATATTTATTGTTGTGTAACTTTTTAAATCGTTATATATCATAATAATTAAATGTGAGTCGTGTGTTAAATGTTATATGAATTTGTATTTTTTAGGTAAATTTATATATTATTCGTATTTCTATGTACGAAAGCGCGATATTTGAAACGAAATTGTAATTGCACCGATCTGCAACTTAATACATATCTCGGTTAATTATAGAAAAGTTAAGATATTTAATTAGTCTTTTCGTGTATTTAATTTTAAGACAGCACTTGTTTATATTTTGTGATATTATTTATTTTGTTAAATATGTTTGATGTCAATTAGTTACAGTTATTGTTTTGTTTGCGAAATATAATAGGTTATGTTTTCAAATTAATTTAGATAATATTCAATGTTGAAAATCAATCGCTTTTTCATAAACAAATTAATACATTTATGTATATAATAATTACAAAGTGTAAATAAAAATTATTCTACAAGTAAAAACCAAATTCTTTTATTTATATACAAAGAACATTTTTCATACATGAAGAGTAAGCAATGGAAGTGCCTGTAAAATTTAAAAATCAACAATTAAGGTGTATTTCCACTGGGGCAAGGCATTGCATTGTCTTAAAAATGCTATAAAACTGCAGAACCATTAAGAAACGTATTGTTTTCTTCGTCTTCAATGAAAATACACTATCATTTTTGCTAATTGAGAAAAAAACGTTTCAAATCTCAATTAGAAATCTGATATTGACTAAACTTTACTAAATGATTAACAAGTCAACAATTACATAATCTGTCCTTTTCTTTTGCCAAGCCTCATCTTCAAGCATTTACGCGGCTATAATATTGCACATCAACCTTTAGAAAGAGACAAACATATTTCGCTTGTTACAACTTCAATAGATATCTCTTTGATACAACATTTGGAGAACATTATAATTATAATAATATTTAAAATTGCTACAAAGATTTTTTTTCGAAATTTAGGCTTTTATTTTGATACTGCAATCTTTGGATTGTTAACATTTTAAGCAAACATATTTAAAACATTTATTAACAGTGGTAGAGCTCGCTTTAACATCTTCGCACGAATTGGCCCGGCTCGCCCGGTGAAATACAACAACCACACAGAAAACAGGCCTCAAGTGAAAGCAATGCCGCGTTTCGTCTGATGAGTGTGCCTAATTTAGTCCTCTTTCACTTCCCACACTTTTTCTTATAAGGAAAGGATAGAAAGTGGAAGTGGAACTTTCCAGATGAGAGGATGCATAGGAAGGGAAAATATTTTCTTTCTGTGCATCCTCTCCTCCGGTGATTAAAGGTAGTCAACGCATATGCAATTGCGTATGTCTTTGGGTAGCGGTCACTTCACTATTTCTGCAATTACAGGTGGCCTTTCGCTCGTTTGCCACTTTATAATATAAAAAAAAATACCTTAGCCAAAAAGTGGTCCAAGATGGTGTTCAACGTAAAAACACATAGATAACAGAGTAAAAACTGTATAGAGTTTTATTTATCCTATCTCTTTGTAATGGTTGATATGTAATAATTGTCACATTTGCTCGCACCAAGCTCATCACAAACACACAAGCAAGTCTATCACTGGCGCACAATGATTGTGCGCGTTATTGTTCGCTAATCACTCTCACTGCCACTCTGACCCGGCACATAGTCTTCATCATCTTCATCCGATATATCCAGGTCATCCAAATCTTGGAATAGGGATTCATCAACTTTGACTGCATCACCTATAAATTACATAAAGACATTTTAGTACCACTACATTCCTAATATAATTAACTCCCTTCCGAATCACATTTAATCCTACCATATGAAAGAAGCATGTTTCTTCCTAGTTTCTTGTGCCACAGGCAACAAAAGACCCTCAAGACTATATTATTATTACAAATTTCAACTATAAATTAACTATAAGCTTGTGGTTGTAAATCAATATAATGAGATTTTATGATTAAAAAATGGCTAGAAAACTCATTAAAAACAAGTTGAACTATTAAAACTTGACACTTTGATGATAAACTTGATACTTACCATCATCAAGGAACTTAAGATCAGATTCATTGAGTGTTGTGTCCCTCAAGAATAATTCTTTTCCTGTAAGTTTATTTTTGTCTTTGCCCTCTCTTTCCCTTTTAGCAGGGATGCCCATATCATTTTCGAATTGCTTTCTCCATGCCAAAAATGATTCCACCGTCACTCTTGTGCCCTCAAATCTTTTCTGAAGGATAAATATTACATAACTATAAAATATATTTATATATGCAAATAGATTTAATAAATATTGGTGTAAACATTATTTGATACTTGAGTTGTAGCTGCAACAAGCTATTCCTATTATATTAACTACTGTACAGTTAATGTAATACATTTTTACTATAGTTGCTCATATTTTCAAACAAATCAAACATGAGATGTCACATTCAAACAACTAACCCAACCCTTTACAAGCTTGTATGATATTAGTCATCAAATTATAATGAAATAAATATCTACTATGCTTTTAACTGAACATAGTCAATTGTAATGAACAACATCAAATAAAAAACTGACCTGTTCTGCTTCTTCATCTGCTCTTAATTTAGCAAGTACCCTTTCTTCTTTCTCTCTTTTCATGCTGTCCCATTTCTCATTGAGCCACTCCTGCCCTGCCGACACTAGGGTGAACACCATCACCATGCCAATATTCTCCTTACCCTGCTCAAGAAAATGTAGTTACTTTTTTATAATCTATCCATTTAGTAGTACTATGAATTGGTCAACTCTGAAGGTGCGCCTTTTTACTGACCTGTTCCATTAAATGATCCAACAATTGATTCTTGTCTACATCGTCAAAATTCTCTTCATTGTCGATCTCAACAATTGGTAACTCATCAGGATATTTGGCTGTATATGTGAAAGTGAGCTGGCAGCTAAGGCCTTCCCCGCCGTCTTCATAGCCCTCCGACATAATAGGTATAGAAAACTTATGATATGGCTCAGTCTCTAAAACTAAAAAAAAGAAATCAGTACATTGTAAAATAACCTAAAATAAAGTTACCCCGGAGGTGGTTATTTACTTTTCATTTCGCCGTAATAGATAGAATCTAGTGCCTCAACCTCACTGGTCTGTTCGTAATGGTAATCCATTGCAAAATAAACTTATAACGTTCAACAATCTTTATTATTTTTCAGAATTCCAAATCAGAACAGAATTAAAAACTTAAGCCAACATTCAATAATTCTGTTGTGTCAATGTCAGACTAACTGACATTTTAATGACATTTCCATTTTTTTTTAATTTTATGACCTGGTAACATAGACCTTTAGGTCATATCTTGACATTTCCATTTTTTTTTAATTTTATGACCTGGTAACATAGACCTTTAGGTCATATCTTATTTGGTGACATTTTCATTTTTTGAAAAAATCAAAGAGTGTGGGTATATCAAAGAGCAGATTTAGTTATTATAATAAAATTGGCATGAACATGTAATACCGAAAACAATTATATTTCGTACACACGATGCATTTGCGTCTCTCTCCGTCCGTTTTTCTCTGTCCACAACACAATGACTCGTTTGTTCCCAGTAATCTCCGGAACGTCTGAACCAATTTTGACGGGACCGGAAGATGAGCATGCGGGGATATAGTAGAAGCTAATTTTAAACAGGTGGAGTCGGTTTCTAACTTAAAACACTGATATTTATTGAGGCCAGTGACCCAAAAACACTCCTGATCGTGCTCTAAATATTGTTATTATACCCTGTTTAATCTGTCCATGTTGACAGTGACAGTTAGTTGTTATTTGACAATTCAGTCGCTTGTTTAAAATTTCTGAGATTTTTGGTGAAAAACTGAAAATTGCATTATAATTCGCAGTTGAAAAAGAGACACTTATCACATAAATAATAAACAATAAATATGGATTCTCCTGATATTTTGCCATCTTGTAGTAACTCAAATGTTACAGATTCGAATGACTCAGGGTTAGTAATTTTATTAGTAAATAATAATTAAAAATAACTACACTCAATTTTAACAAATTAATTCGTAACATTAAATATAATTTTTACAGAAACTTGCGCCCACTTAAGAGTCAAGAAGACTTCTCAGAGTTACGGGACCAAGCTATTGAGAATTTTCAAAAACCTAATTTACCAAATGTCAATGTGCCAGAGAAAATAATTATTTGTTTAGATCTTTGCTATGATAATGAAAATGCGCATTATCGTTTAGCCGACGGTTCGACATATAGACCAGTTAAAATGTTAAAGAGAGTTTTAGAATTCTTTGTATATACAAAACATGCAATAAACAAACGAACAAAATTTGCTCTGGTCATGTTAAAAGATGAGCCATGTTGGATACAAGGTTTTACAAATAACCCTAAGGATATCTTAAGTATGGCTGAATATTTAAGTCCAGAAGAGAGTACATCTGAGACAATTGATTTTCAAAAATTATTTCAAATTTTAAAACAAGAAATAGAAGTACCAGAATACAGTCAGGGTGATTGTATTCTACCACCTCCATATGTGGTGCGAATGATTGTTTTGTACGGAAGATCTAACTGTGTTCCACAAATACCACAGGATGATCCTTATTTTATTTACCTCAAGAAACAGTTTTACTTCTATATAGACATTTTACTAGCGCATGAAGAAGATTGCGCTGCATACAAATGTGAGGAGGTATATGATGCACTACAAGACTTAGATAATGGATATTCTTATGTATATGAAGTTTCTAGAAATGCAACAAAAATTCATGATTGTATTGCCAAGCTGCTGGCTCATCCTCTGCAGAGGCCTTTACAGAAAAACACTGATTATTCTTTTGGATGTAGATATTAAGTTAAAATGTTTTATATTTAATGAATTAAATTAAGAGATAACTTCATTCTGATTATTATTAACAACCATGGTATTGAATAGTATAGTTCTAGACATTGAATATGTTCCATGGCATATAAGTGAATACTGTAATATAATGAAACCTAACAATAGACAGGCTTGTGCAGATGTATACCACATTTCCTCTGATGACATCACACCCACGGGGTGATGGGTATGTACCCAAAACCCAAATCTCGCCTTCTTTCCACTCTCTTCGACAAGAAAAGGAGACACATAAAGTACCACATATCAGGGAAAGCTAGATTACTTAGCACCATATCACATGAAGATATTACAAATTAATAGCTTTCACTTCTGTTTAAACTCTGGGCTAAATATTTGTGAACTAAATATTGAAAGAACAAACAACCAAATAATAAATCAAAGCACAGAGCACAAACGTTTTATTTAAAACAAAACTATTCAAACTATACACAGTTCAGTAAATCATAAAAAAATAAATTTAATATGTAAATAAAATGTAAAAAAAAAAACTTATGTACAAGCGACAATTTTCCATCCAAAAAGATTCTAAAAACATCGCAATTGAAATTATTTTACAGCCAGCGATCTTTATAATAATATAAAAATGTTTATTTGAAATATGCAATTATGTTTGATTTATTACGGAATAGTTACAAATGACTGCATTTAAGTAATTTAACAAATAACATTTTACAAAACTTTGTGGTATTGAAATGATAAAAAGCCTTTATGACAAACAAGATATCTTTTTAGGGTGGCTATACATCATGTAGAGCCACATTTATGATTATATCTGATTATAGCATGATCTCTCCATTAATATTACCTTATCAATAAATTTACAAAACTAATGTATTACGAGCTCATTGCATAAATTGTGTTGATTTGTTTAAATTTTGAACATTTTAATGATTGAATATATTATACAATCCATGTCCTATGTATAATTTTATAGTATACACTCAGTGTTAAATAGATGAAATAGTATAAACCAAATAAAATTGAAACACGATAAATATTATTCCCTATTAATTCTGCTAATTAAAAGGTCGTTTGTCGTAATGACGGACAGCAACAAAAGAACAGCAAGCACCAATGGCCTTCACGGTTAAACCGAAAACATCACGGAAAGACAGACCCTTCCCTCGCCCCAAAAATAAACTATAGGGAACGTTACCTAAGGCAACAAATACTTCAGTCAAAGAAACACCGCTAAGTAATGACCCCCTCTGGCTGGAATCATTCGTAATGGGGAGACAGCGTTCGTGTCAGAGGACCGAACGAAGCATTTCAATGCTGACGCTGCTGGATATGTGCAACTCATCGAGACAGAGTATAAAGTGATTTCGGACGTTGATAAGCAATATGCTAAATCCGTCCCGGCTTCCGCTCATGCCTCAGCTTGATCAGCAAGCTTCGGGAACTGCTGCAGCTTTGATTAAATTAAGATCTAACTATAAGAACCCATGTAACTACGATATAACAGCCTTTACGTATCCGGATACACCATCAGATATTATTTTAGGAAAACCATTTAAAGAATTGAATAAAAATGAATGCATAATTCTCCGCCGCTCTCTTTATGTCTGTTCACAAAAAGTAATCATTATTTTCAACCTAAATCTGCTGAGAGACGTAACTTACGTCCTTTTCACCGACATGACCTTAAATTACCTAACATAAAAAGTCAAATATATTACAAAAGTGCATATGTCACTGCTATAAGAGTTTTTAACCATTTGCCAATTAAGATAAAATCAATGAACGGTAAAGTTTTTAAAATAAATCTGAAGAACTGGTTGTTAGATCAAGCCTTCTACTCGATGCAAGATTTCTTTAGCTATAATGAAACTAAATAGTGACATTAGATACGGTCTTGACCGACCCGCAAGCTAATTCTTTTTAACATTGCTATTCACTTATCTAAAAAGGCGATTGTGTTTTACACTTATTAACTATGTTATTATTATTGTTGATAGATGTTCCCAAGTTCTTAATCTTGTTTGTTCTGCTTTTGTTTCTTTACCATTATCCATTGTATTACACCAAAATATAGTTCATCATTGCACACCCGAAGGGGTATCTAACTGTATTGTAACTGTTTATAAATGTTTGTAACCTTATAACAATGTAATACAGTTTGCAATAAATGAATTATTATTATTATTTATGTAACAAGTTACAATATGTAAATTGTTACATTTTTGTAACAGACAACTTTGGAAACACGTGAATCAAAGCTTTACATCAGTTCTTACAGAAAAATTAGCGTGTTTTTTTTTATATTTTTTATTTTAATCTCAATTCCTTTTTAGGCCTTCATATAGCATCTGTAGCCTAAAGAATATAAAAATCCTGGCCAGAGGTCGCTTCGATCAACTTCTTTACCGCTTTTTCTGCAATATGCCAAGGATTTTTATATTTCTGGTCAGGCTATAACAGCTTAAATTGTGAACAAACATAGATGAGTGGTTAAAATACATAACAATTTGCAAATTCCAACTTCATACAAGAATTTTATTGATATCTTTGTAATTATACTTACATTTATCTAACACTAAATGTAAGAATAAAATTGTTTAATTCTTCATTAATCATTATCTAAACACGGCACAATCTATTGGCAATAATTTCTTACTATGATTCAAACCAATAGAGTGCTGTTAACTGAGTTATTTAAATTTATCCAATCTTTATTTGTAAAACTAGACAAGTTACTAAATACATGATCCGATATAACAAGAGATAATCAGTGACTCTACTTATAAAATGGTAAAGATCGTGCTACGAGTACAGATAGTAAAAACAGGCATACATTTTTTTACATTAGTTTTTACAAAATAATGACAAAAAAAATCACAAATAATACGAGGAGTCTAATATCACTTTACTGGCACTATCGGCTAAACTAAACTATAGTTTATACATATTATTACTACAGATTTCGACAGTTGCAACACTTGTATACATATGGTTGTCTTTATTTATCTCAAAGAGGAGAACAAGGATGGAAATATCGATAATACGAAAGTGTAAACTCACCGTAATATAAAGCAATCTATTTCAACATTTTTAAAGGGAATTACATTTTATTTTATTCACACGTGGAAAGACAATTCAATATACAGTCGCATCTCAAAGTCATGAGATTTTAGACGTTTTACATTTTGACACTGGTTGATTTACAAAAAAACAAATAAATAACTTTACTTATCAGTCTCAATACTATAAAATCTATTTACAACATTGTGATACCAGCCGTTGTCATATATACTTGGGAAGCCTTTAGATGTTTTCATACGCATCTTTTCATTTCCTATGCCTTAACTTGGAATGGTATAAATAGTTTTAATTATAATAAACAAAAAAACAAGCCGATACTAGAAATAAAGAAAGATTAAAGCATATAACCATTCTCTGGACTAGCGCCAAACTTTAACATATCCATTACAAAACATATATGTTTACACAAATAAGCGATTATTTTCACATTTAATTCATTCAAAAACTCTTTTTTTCTAAGATTGCAGCATAGATGTCATTAGCACATTCAGTGCCACTAACATCCCGTAGGACGAGTCGGTAGCAGTGAATGTGTTGTTCATCAAAATACATTGATTTGCTAAGAGATTAAGCGTCAAGTGCTAAAGAAATGCAAGTAAAAAGCTCATATTTATGTACTTTATATTTACATTTGAACTTCTTATTGACTTCTGCACTACAAATTCTAATAAATAAACATCTCGCCGACCTGAAATATTATAAATAATATGTGCCAGGAAGACAGGACTAGATCATTTAAACATTTTCGTTAACTCGTGACGTATATACCTTGCAACCACACCCGCCGCTATAGGGTTGCCACAATATCTCATAAAACAAAAAGTATCGATTTTTTTTCAATTAATTTTTAATATTTGATACGATTACATCGATATCGAAATGTTGCGTATTTTTTTTTCAACTTACATCTAATTTATTGATAGTCTTATCAATTCATCTAAAACGACGACGTTAGTTGAAACGCGTAGAGTATGCATTATTTTAGTCTATAAATACGAATATGAAATCGATTCTTTCTTTTCCAATGCAATGCTTAAAATTGTAAACCAGGCCTTGAATTCTTAAAATAATAAATAAAATTGTTTTAAGAAAATAGAGGAAATTTTTACAACTAAAATATTAGTGTAGTGTTTCCGATGTCGATAATGTTAAATAGTCGATATATCGATTAAATTGTAGTAGAATCCATATATATAAAAGTATATAGATTTTTTACATTTTTATGAATTCGAATATTGCTCAGAACTATGTGTTTATTTAATTTCGTGAATTGGCAATGGAATGTCGTTTGAGTATCTTATTCAGTCTTTTCGGCGGAGTCAGAGCGAGAGAAACTAATGTCCACGGCGGCCATTTTTAATCCGCAATATGACAGTCCGCCATTTTTGCATTTGTAGTTTAAAAGCTACCTTATAAATACTTTAGACCTTTTTAAAATTTAAAACTATTTCTCATTATCAATTACAGCTAGAAATAATAATGAAAAATTGTCGATATCCCTTACCGCCTAATATTGAATTATTTTCTGTAATAGACATAGAAATAAATTACTTAGTTCTTACTGCGTACATATTTAATTTAACCACTTACGTAATTTCTAAATGATTTAGTTAAGAGTGTAAACATTTCATTGCGTAGGTATACGCGAACGCGCTTGCGGTGGGCAAATCGTTAAAATACCAATAAATTTCGTAGTAGTTTATATCTTCAAAATCGAGATCAGCAAGGGATCTAGTTTATTATACTATGTTACATTTTAAAATACTAATTTAACAAGACTTATGACAAGTGTTAAAATTCCAAATAGCATATTTTTTGGGGCAATACAACGAAATTAATTTTAATTCATACAATTACATCTTATTTTTCATTAAAGACTGAATTTATAATTACTCGGTTTGGTTTATATTGTAAACGGGTCTCAGTTAAATCTATAAAATGCAGTAAAATAGAACACAGCGTTTGTGCAATGTTGTGAACATTTAGCGGCGGGAAAACAGAATGCAGTTTGCAAAGGGATTCACAAAGAAAACATTTTTGGGAGTCACAAGACGTTGGGTTGTCATATAGTCAAACGCGCCGTTTGCACGGTGGGCGTGTGTTGTGGCGCGTGGGGCGTGGTTGGGGGCAGGGGGCAGGGCGCAGGGCAATCACAGGACGCAGGCGGCGAACACCGCCATGGCGCGTCAGGGCGGCGGCTGCGGGTGCGGATGCGGCCGCTCGGGCAGTGCGGGCGCCGCCTCCTCCGCCCCCGCACCGCCCGCCCTCGCACGCATCACGTACGCGTACGTGCGGTACCTCTTTATCTGAAACAAATGGTATTTGCTTGAATTTTCTTTAAGAAAATGACTAAAGATTATAATCATTACAATATTTACAACAGAAAAAAGCCTAAACCGATTATGATGAAAATTGGTGGCGAAGAAGCTTATAACCAGGTGACGTACATAGTATACTTTGTACCGCGTTTTTATTTAATTCCGCTCGGACGGAGTCGCGGGCAAAAGCTAGGATGTATTTATAACGTGTGTTGTGTTTGTATAATGTGTTTACTTCGTGCACGAGGTAGTGGTCCTTGTCGCGCGAGTGTGCGTTGTGGGCGTGTGTGTGGGCGGAGTCGCGCGCGGCCCGCAGCGCCGCCAGCTCCTCCTCCAGCCGCGCCGCGCGCTCCTCGTGGTCGGCAAGCTGCTCACGCTGGGAAACATTACGAAAATGTTATTATTACAAGTATATTTGTTAAAAATTTTCAAAAACGAACTGAGTTTTTGTGCATGTGAGAAAATTCTGTGTGTTCTATTATAAATGGTAGTGTATACTGACCATGGCGAGCTTGGTGTGGGTGCAGGGCAGCAGGGGGCGCTGGAACTTGCGCTGTGAGCCGACAGCTCCGGCCAGTGGTGGCGCGGAGTACGCCGCGCATACAAAGTTTATCGTCTCCACCCACGAACACAGTTCCTTAGAGTCGCTGTAAATTGTTATTTATACTTCAATATTACGTGCAAATATTATATTTTTCTACACCTAAGATTTAATAGAGGCAGCTCGATTTTGGAGATTTAGTGAGTCTCACCTAGTCTGGAACAAATATTCTGCTTGATCTGCAGTCTGTAATCTGAATACGTGTTGTTTCTTCGTATAGTCAGTCGCCTTGGTGGCCAGTGCGTGGTGTATCCTGCAAGGAATAATAACATTATTGAGTAGATTATAATGATTTTTTTTCTAAATGTGCCTAAACTCAGTGAAGTTTGGCTCGCACTTCTACATAGCAATATGTTTGTGTGTCGTGTCGTTCTCTGACCTGATGGCATTATGCAGGTTATCAGACATCTGGCTGCGGCGGAAGCCGTGTTCATCCTTGTGCAGGTACAGCACGAGGTCGCGCAGCGTGCAGTAGAACATCTTCCAGCCGCGACGACCGAATGGAGCTGGGGAGACAAACGTGATTAACATTATAGTACCCACATAGGAAAAAACAATGAATTGCTAATGTATTGTAAATTTGGCAATATTTACAATGTAAGTATGTATAATTAAATTGCTCAGATGACTTTACGGAGTACAAGCGTATTTTTTTATCTTTGGTTTTTTTGAACAAAAGCGTCACCATAAGACTCAATTTAAATTTCCACCATAATTATCCCCTGTTTACTATCAATTTGTAGTGTATGTTTATATTGCTGTAACTAACTCTTTTTTCCGTTGGGATCTACGCAGCACTTGCGCATGACGTAGCCCTTCTTGTACTCGACAGCGCGGCTCTGGTCGGGCACGTCGAGGAACGGGTTGCTGCCGACGGGCGCAGTGCGTTGCTCCGTAGTCGCCGCTTGATTCGCCTCCGTGTCACTATAATAAATAATTACATGTACTAATGAAACAATTAAATATGTAATTGTTTGGTAACATAAGTTTACGTATGTATATCACTTACGTATTAATATTTCTAAGATAAATTGACTCCATAAAATATTGGCGGCTACCATGTAAATAATTGTAATCTACAAATTCTAACTGCACAATATTTTGTTTTGTTTTTTAAACTAAGCTGTCTAAAACTATTGTTCGCGTTTATTAAATAAAAAAAATAAAATTAAGATTTCCTATCAGACTTTGGCTTACATAGTAATTAAATGTATCTCTAAAAGAGTTACATGGATCTCGCTGAAATTTGGGATGTATGTAATTTTTAGGGTTCCGTACCTTATATGGAAAAACGGAACTCTTATAGGATCACTTTGTTGTTCGTCCGTCTGTCTGGACGGGCGACAGCTAGTCGTATAATACTTACAGTGCCCACTGGAGCGGCTGCGTGCGTATCGCATGGTAGAGCTGCTTGAGCGTGTCGCGCGGGAAGTTGTCGCCGTCGTTGAGGTCTGCGAGGTTGTCTATGAACTCTGCGCATGTCATGCGGCGGAATGCAGCTCCGCCCGCAGCCGCGCCGCCGTGCAGGTCCGTGTTCAGCAACATTATAGCGCACGTCAGCGTGTGCACCGCGTCTACACACAATACACACTCTATTACTATTCAAACTGAATTCTAACCTATAAATGAACTGGCTGTACGACGTAGTATTTTGTGCATATTTGATTTTCGCCATTTTGATACTGACGGCAGCTGTTTGTAGCAGTGGTGTGGATTCCAACTTATAATGTACGTAGAAGTAACTACCACATAACAACAACAGGCGCCCTTAAATCAAAACGAAGCAAAAGCTGTCATTTCCAAGCAATCGCCTATCCGTTATAGAGAATCGATTCTAACAAATAAATGACGATATTTATTATAGTTACAAATAGTTTTAAGAGGTGAAGAAGCGATAGAAGTATATCTCTTGTCTCTGCCTACTCCTTTAGGTTACCTTGTGAGTTGAAGGTGCCGGGATTGCATTCAAGGTATCTTCGGGAGAAGTGCACGAGGACGCGCTCTCGCTCCTGCGTCTCTCCGCTGAGCGCGAACCTGGCGAGGAACTGTCGCAGCGCCTCGTCCAGCGTCGCCCCGCCTAGAGAGAAGTGCTTCACGTACTCCTCTGCCACCGCGCGAGAGAACTCATTGCTGCAAACAACATATATTTTTTATACAAATCATTTCTTAATGGAAATCTACGTAATTATTGTACAAAATTAGTATGAAAAACAGATTAAAAACATAATTTTCACAAAGAATAATAGAATGATAAATTACTTTTTTCAAGTTTTTCACAGTGGAAACTCACAATATGATTATTTAAGCTAATTTAGTACAGTGTATAACAAACTTTTACCTACTTAACATTACTTACTTTTTACTTAAATGCCTAGATACATCAGACTTCTTGAAGCCGTCGAGATGGTATAATCGCTTGGCGAGCCGCTCCGCCGAGGGTATATCCACGGCCTTGGGACTGTAGTGGAATGAGTGCAGCGAGTCTCCATCTGACCCCTCGTCTGAACCAACATCGGAACCGCTACCTAACTCCTAGTAAATAACACCACATAAACAGATATAAAACTGTAACATTGGAGTCTAGGAACATATATAAGATAAACATAGAAGTTTTTACCAACATTATAGAATTCATAACTAAAATTGGAATTATTCCTGTATTTTCATTCACAAAAACAGATTGACTGACTTGGGTCACAAATTGTAACCTCACAATTTCATTTTTTTTCGTCTTTAGCATAGGTTTTTTGCTTCAAATATGAAAATTTATTACAGATAAATACACTATCTTTTTCTTTGATTAAGGTTTATAATAGAAATATTTTAATCTCACCTGATAACCTTGATTTTCGGGTGAATTACATCCATTTTCTTTCCCATTTTGTGTGAAATTATTATTATTATTTACACTATCACTTGTATTAACACTTTTGTCGGGTCCTTTCACTTGTATCACTATTCTATAGTCTTTGTGTTCACCATTTAGAGTCACATCACTATCTGGATCATTGGAATATGAGGAGTTTGACTTTGCTCGCTTGTGACACGGTTCTGACACCAGTATCGTGCTGTCAGAGTCAGACGGATCTGACAACTCCATCCGTGGACAGTCGCGACCAGTGTCAAACATGTCGTCCTGGTCTTGGTAGTCCGGACTGGATATATTTGATACTGCTTCCGATAAGCTCATATCACCTGTTGAGTTAAATTGTATTTTAAAAATGTATTTGAGTCTGTGAATAATATAGTACAGACTTATTATGAAGAATAACATTGTAACACTATTGAATTTTTTTTTTAATTCATATGTCATTCTGATCAATCCAAGCATGGCTTGGATTGACATTTATTTTTAAACATTATAAAGGTAAAAAAAAGGTACACAAATACAATGTAGGATTCTAATGGTAAAAAGTATTGATATCCAGCCTGTAGTTTTTGAGTTTACTACAAAGTGAGAGTGAATTAAAAATATTTTTTTAGTACAACAAGAGTAAAGAGAACTAAGAAATTATTAATACATTACCATTGATAGGTCTGTGCGAGTGCTGCGAGTGCTGCGAGGTGGTGAGGAGGGGGGCGCGGTGAGGCGGGGTAGCGCGCGATGACATCACAGACGACGATACCGACGTCGGCGACGCGGGCGACGACGATCTGACACACAAAGTATAAGGTCGCATATATAATACATGAGATAATTTGAAATGTTTTTTTTTAATTTTGACTAGACGAGTGACGGATAAAAGCCATATTCTTATAAATGTATACCTTTGTGAGATGCCATCTGATATGGAGGTGGAGTTGGATGTGGCTCCGGAGCCGTTGCACTGCGTGCGTTCTGACGCGCACGAGACCGGCGCGTTGTACGTCCACACGATCCTGATACAAATACATGCATTTATACAATTCCTAAGAAAAAACATGTTACCGTACTCACAATCGTTAAGTGCAGTTTTAAAATAGGAAATAAAATTACCTATTAACGATTCTGCGAGTAAATTATTTAACCAGCAATACATAAAAGGTACGAGTTTAATCTTCACTCATTCAGTATACATCCTTCTTCTTACTAATATTGTAAATGGGAATGTTTAGATGGATGGATGGATTTTGTGTATATAATATAGAACATAGTCTGGAAGAACACATAGGGTACTAAGTATATTACTTTTTAATTCTGTGGGGAAGGAGTCGCAGGCGACCGCTAGTTTATTGATAAAATAAAACATATTGAAATATCAAGCAGAATAAGGTAATTACAAAATAACTCAAGGGAGTACCTCAGTGATTATTGAATGAGTGAGTGAGTGAGCGAGTGAATGAATATCACAGTATGTGTATCACCTGTCCCTCTCTAGATCGGTGTCGGAGCGCGGGCCGGGCGTGGCGGAGTCCGGGCGCGCGTCGAGCAGCGTGTTGAGCGATGACGTCACGTCCTCCTCCATGTCCACCGCCACCGCGCTCAGGGACGACTCCTTCTGGAATACATTGAAATACTTTTCATTAGAACATTACCACTGTTCTATACAAATATATACTAAACAGTTTAAACAACACTTTAAATAGACCATACAGATCGACAATATCAAAGATAAAAATGTTAATTGAAGTCATTTATTTAAACAATGAAGTAACATACCGCAATTACTGTTTGAGATACGAAAAAGACAAAAAGGAATGTTTTTTTTAATTGGCCTTCCAAATATGATAATTATCTCGTACCTGAAGATGGTCCTCAGAGCGCGATGTTCGCACGACGTGTTGCGCGCGCGACGCCATCTCCCCTCCCGCCTGGCCGCCGCCCGCGGGCGATGCCGGCTGAGATATGAACCTGCAATAACACCCAACATTACATTCAAATAATCACAATATTACGAATATACTAACTTCACTGACGTATCCGTGGAATATGGTTGTATGTCTCTAACTTTTTTTATTTATGACAAGGTGGCGAACTGAATTCAGGGAAATAGCAAAGCGACCTTTGCCCCTGGACAACTGCAATTGCAGATGCGTTGCCTACCTTTAATTAACGGAGGAGATGATACTCAGAAAGATATTTCCCCGTCCTATGCGTCTATGCGTATACCGTTTTGAATGGTTGGGTTGGTTACTGTCGCACTGAGAGATTCGTGGAATGGCAACAAAGAATCAATTAATAGATTAAGATTTATGTTATAAGTTTATTGAAAAGAGCTTTTGGCAAAAGTTTGAGTTAAATATATAGAATTATTTATAACAAAGGGATATTGATTAAACATCAGTTTGGTGCGTGGGGTGGCGGATTACAATTTAATCAACGCTCTGTTTCCCACATTCGCGCGATTTGATAAGTGCTCCGTGACGCATTCTGTGTTCCAACACGATCTACGCATATACACATATGTATATTTGCGCTAAAATGTATTCTTCACGAATATGATAGTGATTATGTAGATATATTTTGCTCTGTATGGTAATAACTTTTACCGCGACTTTGTCTGAGTTTTTTTCATGTATCACAGGGCCCTATGTTCTTTTCTATATATGAGTATGTACAAATTATATGATCAATTGAGTTAGGGCTTAAAATGTTTCAAACTAGCTGATATTAAAATCTAATATACCAGGACAACATAAAGTCACAAAGCTACAATAATAAAACATGATATAACATTGACTTACAGCTTGTTGGCGTGTTCAGTACCAAGGCCGGTGTCGGGCGAGGAGTTGTGTCGCTGCGCCAGCTCGACGCGCGCCGCAAGACGATTTTCACTCGGCGACGCCGGCGTTGAATTATATCTAACATATTATTTTCCATTGTTAATATTACTGCATAACTATCATATTTTTATTGTACAGATCGATGAATGGAAGATATTTTACTCACCTATGATAATGAGTGCGATGTGTAGGCGCGTGGTGGTTATGGTGTGGATGTTCTACTCGGGACAGATTGAGCATTAGATCCCCGGTCATCATGTAAGCCTCGAACTTAGGTTGCGTGGGTCGGCCACGCGACCTCTCCTCTGTCAGTAGCGCCTCACAGCTATCCCCGGACACAACGTCGGAACCGTTGCTCGATGATTTACTGGATGAATTACTGTTTGAGTTGCTGTTTGAGTTACTTGATGGTGGTGAACTTGACCTAAAATAATATACAATTAACTATAATGGCTTGATTAAGACATAATATTTTTTATTTCGGTTCGTTAATTATTCGTTTTATTTACGACGTTCATTGCAAATGGAACACTTTATTAGAATTATTACATAGATCGGTTTCCTGCCGTCCTAGTCCATTAGACTTGCTTAACTTATACTAGAACTTCATTCCATCCTGTGTGAAACCCACTTACAGATTTAGCTTCACCTTGCTATTCTCAGTACGATGCTCGCAGAGTAAAATAAAATGTCTCTTTACATTTGGTGGGAAGTTAATTTCGAGCCAGCAATGGACGTGCCATTATTACGTTACCAATGTATGTAAATTGACCAATCCCCTCTTTATTCAGGGATTCAATATAGCTCTGACAAATTTTTAATTAATAAAACGATGTGCGTGTATTTTGTGCCCTATTTATGTAATCGACTAGAGTAATTCTCACATATGTGCAATATGGAGATATAAAGAAATAATACTAAAATGATTATGGTTACCGTTGTGTGATTTTATATAACACATTTAGTTATTTCTATTACAATAAAACAATGTGGTATGCTTATAAAAAGTCCGGACAATCGGCTGCCATTGTTTTCGTTCCGGCAAAGCAAATCTTACGAATGAATTTAGGGAAAACTTTCGCTTGCCAACTTTCCTACACATTGGGACGATAATAAAACCGCATTGTTATAGTTATTACAGTAATACCAACATGTTAGGTATAGTTTAAAATGTACTTTAGAGAAAATATACACATTTATATCGCTATGAAAACTAATGTATCATTTATTATGTAATTGACATAGTCATAAAATTACCTGTATTATAAAGGAAACAGAACCAGGCAAAATATATTGAATTTGTTCCAGTTCAAATATTGAGTCCGTTGTTTAAAAAAAAAGTTTGACGGAAATCTGTTTTCTTTGTTAATGTAAACCATTACGATACTGCGACGTAATTGAAAAACGCAGATGCAAATGCGCGTTACATACATTTCCATTGTCAGGTAGACGCAGTCTCAGAGGTTTATTGCGACGCATTTATTTCTAACATAATTTTTACATCACATACTGTAAAAGCTAAAAAATAATTCATCAAATACTCAGCAATTATTTTTTTTAATCTTAAACGGATGTTTTTTTTAACAAAATTAATTGCGTCATTCCGTAATACAATACGATATTGTTGTCTCAGTGTCTCCTGCGAAGAAAATTTTAATTGGATAAGCCATTACCGGTATTATTCCAGGCACCCTCGTAATAAACGTCACATTACTTTTGTTTCTAGGAATCTATTTTGGTACCATTTTAACTAAATTATGTAGCCATTTCTGGTTTCTGTGCAATCTCATTAAACAAATAAATAGACTACTTTGGTTGTCTCTGTCCACAATTAAAGGTAACATAAACATGCCTAAAACGACTTCGAACCGTAGAAGAGTATATGATAAATACATTATAGGCAATTTATACAGTAGATTTTGTTCTAGAAACGTCCATTAAACGAAGAAATCGTTACAGAATAAACTACTTAAAAAGATCGATATGAAATGATTCACTTTATGTTTGTAAAAACACAAAATGAATCATATGTTTTTAATTCACTTTTAAACATCTAGCAGGCACGTGCCCCGTTCACTACGAACGTGTGGCCGGAGGGTAGCCACCCCTGTCTACCGCACATATGGTTCCGGCTATCACTTATCGCTTTCGGATATCGCCTGTCTAGAGGGCTGACTTTCCATTATAAACGATGGGATGCTAAAAATAAAACAGTGGACGAAAATAGAAACCCTAAGACGTGTCCATTAAAGCTTTTAAAAAAAAGTTACTATTATGTTTATGGTAATGTTAAGTTTTTATTGGTATTGTCTATTATCACATTTATGAATTAAATGCGTTACACGAAATATTAAAAAAAATCGATAGGACTTTATAGAAAGGATTTGCAATATTAAGCTAAAATATCGTCGGATCAGTTAATAAATGCATCGAAAGCAAACATCAATTTACGGCTTGTACATACAGAACTCATTTAAAATTCTCCGCAGCTGTGGATCTATAGTTCAAAAATAAATGGTATACGAAAAATTAAAAATAAATAATAAAGCAAAATTTACGTACATCGAGTTCATTCAACGGCTTTTACAATATTGCTTATTATAAATTTATTCAGTTATCGGTGACTAAGGATATATAATATACCATAGACAATATTTTTAAACTAAATAACTTTACTAAACAATTAGACGTCGGCTATTGGAGGAGGAGACAATGAGACTTTACTTCAATCCCAGCTTATTGACAAAAACTCTACTAGATTCTAGTATTTTAGCCCGATTTCCAAGAAAGTTAACATATTTTAAAATTAATGACTATATAGAAAGACCTTGTTTGTGCTTACTTGTCGCGTTTTGTGCGTGCCGCGGCAGCCCGTCGCTCAGCGGCTGCCGATATGTAACGTCTTACATTCGCCTTGATCTCTGGGTCTGCAAATATCAGGGGAACGTACAAACAACGATTACTATTCAAAATAAAAGCAACAATTGTTTATTATAGAATTATAATTATAACTTAACACAATATATACAAAACACTACGATTTAAGAAATATAAGTAATTTAAGAAAACACTATTCTCCACTCATTGTTACAACTCACTCTTTTTTTTACACTGAATAATAACTAAACACTGCTCGATAAAATTAAGAGTGGTAGAACCCGCTTTAACATCTTCGCACGACTTTTCTTATAAGGAAAGGATGGGAAGTGGAAGTGGACTTTCCGGATGAGAGGATGCATGGAAAGGGAAAATATTTTCTTTCTGTGCATCCTCTCCTCCGTAGATTAAAGGTAGGCAACGCATTTGCAATTGCGTATGTCTATGTGCAACAGTCACTTCGCTACTTCAGCGATTTCAGGTGGCCGCTCGCTCGTTTGCCACCTTATGATATTAAAAAAAAAGAAATAAAATCTCACGGCGCCACTATGCGCCAGTAACTTTTTACCTTTTTAGTGGCGCCCTCTAACGTAATGTCGCTAATTATGCTTAGACTATAACATTTATACAAAAACGTATACGAATAAGCATAACAACCCATATAACGAAAAGAGTTGCATCTTTATAATACACATAAATAACTTTTAACGCAAATAATTGTGATAAAAGTTCTTTGAACTCGTCAAAATTAGAATTGATAAATTTTTGTGTGTGTTGTTTACACCAAACTGTTGGAAGAGTTCGTAAAAAATAGTTCTTATTTTAGTATTATTTCTTCTTTTTTTAGCACTTGTAATATAAAAAATTATAAATATCTGAATACTAACTCTATATATAATATATCGAGATGTCATTTTAATATCTAACAAGGTCCACAATTATGGTAAAATTGATAGATAGTACATTGATCTTGACTGAGATGTATTAATCATATGTTTGTTCATTGTTCAACAGATATAGTTTGTGTACAGGATATATCCACTTGACATTATCTCAACTAGTCAACAATGGAATTCATATATTCTATTGTTGGAATTACAGAGTTTTTGATACATAAATACCTTTGATACATACATGATATCAGAGCTATATATATACCTATTGTTTTTCTTATCAATGGAAGCCTGCACTAGTTTTTAAACTTTTTCTTAAATATTAGAAAGAACCTATATACTATCAATCTATTCAAAGTCACATTCTAAATTGTTGAATAATCACTAAGGAAGTTCCTTAGTGTAAATTCTGTAAGAGATGTACACTTAGGGACTGGTTATGAACTGTTAAGATGGTAAGCGGCAATTAATTACCTTAACTATCAAAACATCAAATGTTTTAAGGTGGATTTTAGTAGTGAAAATTCGGAAATATTGTTATAGAATTGTATATTAAAGGGAGAAAAGCTTGCAATTTGACGTAACAACATTATGGTAGACCACCGTAGCATTGCGCTGTTACTAAACGTGTTGCATTGCATGAGAACATAAAAACAGTTCAAGGGAACATTGGGATGACAAATTGTTTTTGTACATAAATCTTACTTAATATCAGGTTACATATTTACAGAAACACCGTCGAAATGTCTAGAAAATAATTACATGGTTGTAAAGGCTAGCTACAGACAATTCTCATATATACCGCAGACGCGACAGAACCATTTGGGAATACGAGGGTTTTATTACTTATGGCCGGCTCGCTCGTTGTTCATTCTCCAAGCATCCTAATATATTATACATTAAATCGATTATTGACCGAGACTCACCCTTTTTCAGTCTTAAAGTGACGGGATCGGACGAAAGTCTCAAACATTTTAAAACTGAAACAAAATATAGCACTATAACAAAATATACACAAGAAATATTAAAGCAAATTAAGATATTCAAACAAACATAATATACGTTCGCGAGGGAAAAGCGAGAGTTGTGTCAGAATATTACCATCTAACCTGTAATGTACGGAATGTTTTTTTTTTTATTGCCTGAACATAGTAGTTTATCATATACTATACTAGAGTTAATTCGTAGGACAATACTTTGATTAGATCTTAATGCTATGAGTTCTTTAAAACCCATGCAAATTTTTGCATGAAAACAATAGGGAGGTTCAAATCGATTTTTGCTACATTCGAAGCTCGTTACTACGAGCAAGCGCATTTAAAAAAACAAATAAAAACTTTCAAATCAATCAAACTTAGTATAATCCTTTCCTAAGAGTACTATTCCGTTTGATCTTTACAGACATACAAATAAAAAAAACATACTTGATTCGAATCAACTATGATAATAAATTTGAAATTGCTCCAATTTATTTTCTTCGAGTAAACATGTTCATTAGAATTGTAAAAGAGATCGTGCAACATTCGTCATTATCACGAACATGCATAATTTACGCAGCTGATTCACTTCTGCCGACATGAACTAGCGAGCGAGAGTTAATAATAAATAAGGAAATCCATTTCAATAGCTCTTGTCAAACTCTTTGTAACTACGTTTTTTTTCTTCAGCCAATGTAATAAATATTAGCAATAATCGATTGTGTTTTTGATTGTTATGTTATCGATTAGGTAATTTTACAAAATTACAAAGAGGCATTGTTTAATTAAATATCTGTAAAATAAACTATAAAATGCCATGAAACAACTGCGCAAGCAACAAATTTGTGGACACGCTTTATCGTTTTAAGATCTGTTGTAACATTTTAAAACAATTTCGGCCATATCTGAAGAATAGGTTTCAAATGCGATATTACAATATCAAGAGGCTACTGTTAAATTGTGCAAAGGAACTAGAAACGAAGTTTTAGATATCGACACATCTACTGTGGGTTTCTGAGGCCAAATGAAAACATACTCTGTTATATTAAAGATAATGATGTGACGATATGTTTTATTTGAAGGTTGGTCTCAGAAATCAACAGTTAGTAAGTTAATGCAATAGCACGCGTGAAACACAAATTGCTTGCTTGCGTGCTTCACACGACTGTAATGGTTCGATCATTGAATTAGCGGTATGAAGTATAAACCTCATGCAAACGCGAACAATTGACGACTTCATTCACTATTTTATTATTTTACATTCGATAGGAACTTGTGGCAGTTCTCTAACTTTATAAAGACTACAGTTTGCGAATACTTTTAAATGTCGTGGTTTTTAGTAAAATGAGCCTTATAATATGTGACAAATGAAAGGAATGTGTTTTGACTATATTAAGAAATTTTTAGACTTTCTATATCGTGGTAAAACTCAAATTATGATTCAGTCTATCAATTTGATTTTTACTTCTTGTTCTTTGTTCTATTTTTCTTTGTTCTGACATATGTTTTTAGGGAAAAACGGTGTCTTTTTCAACAAAATTGACCGATTTAAGTTTGTGAAGTTTCGGGATGTTGGAAGACGAGGCAGACGCATCTGGCAATTGGCTCCTTACCTTCTTTGGTCGTGAACCGGTTTACGTCAGTCCCATTAACCTTGAGCAATACATCTCCAGCCTCGACCTGTAATGGAACATACGTATCCAGTTTAAAATGTATTCGGTAAAAACTAAACATCCTTGCAACGCCTAATAAGATCGCAGTACATGTTACGCTCACGAAATTCTTTGGTGAAAATTCGTTATAACATTCCTGTTCACGTTATAGAGTTTCGTTTAACTGTCGATTCGAATTGAACTTGGAAATATTATAAAGAATATTTTTAGAAGAGAATAACTTAATACGCTAACAAACAAACGCTTCTTACACAAAAAATAACATAAAATTGCAATGATAAGATACAAATTGTTCATTTCTATAAAATATCTCGTCTAATTATCGTTTCCTATTTGTAAGGCTTCCACTGCCGAAAAGTATATACGAAAAGATATTATTGTATCATTTCTTTTTGATAAAATGAGAGAGATGACAATATATTTTAACAATAATGAGTCGGCAGTGAAAACACACGGTTTTATAAATAAGTGTACATAGAATTAGTCACATCGCAGTGTTTCTTGAGTCTTGAGTCACAATGTCTATAAAAATAAAGATTACATTGATTTATTTAAAAAAAAACCAAACGTAGTAAGTATTCTATACGTCCTTCCAGACTATGATATATCAAAGATGTTGTAAGGGATCATAACATTTATTACAGGGCAGTAGAGTTTCTGTGGTAAGAGTTATAATTAAATAGTTGTGTATGTTGCTATGAGAACCTAATTGCAGTCTCCTAATGAATTCATAACGGGTAGGAAATAATCGTCCTCGACTGTATAACTAACATGCAAGTCGTTCCGCACCAGCTGCTAATGGCGATAGGTTGTCCCTATCAATTACGTCCACACTTATCACCCGCGAGCCTTAACCACTACTCGAACGACCTTCGATCGAGTATCTAGTTACCGACTTGTACTACACCGTGATTAATCGATTGTAATTACCATAGTATCTCATGACTCAGTCGAACACAAATTGGTAATTTATATGTAAATACACGTAATCTACGGCTACAGTTAAACGATAGTGCAAGGCCCTAAACACGACAGGCGTGATATTGCTTCTCGAACGAAACGAAATTCACACATCTTTTAGTCAAATTGAGATGCTTAGTAATTAATAATTAATAAAAAAAACTACGATACTTTGATAATAAAAAAACATCTCAGTAAAGGAAAGTTTAAAACTTTTTTTTATTCAAGCTAGAGTTCGACTTTTATAAGATATATTACCATTTTGTTGATGATTATTGATAACCTACAGTATGCATTCCATAATTAGATAAATACATTGTAAGAACATATTAAAACCTACGTATTAATTAATTAAAAAAATGTTTTAATATGTAATACGAACAGATATTGCTTTTAGTTGAGTGGAAAGTCAAACAAAACTCGACTGTTATTAAACTTATCGACTCAACGCTGCATAAACAATTGGTATCACTACGAGGAACCGTTAATGATGCACCAATGATGGTCGTATTTATTTTAACTAACCAAAACATCACGTATAAAAGTATAATAATTGCAAAATGTTATCGCACTTTCAAACTATCATGTATACTTACTTGGTTGAAACGTAAAAATAGAACAAAAACTATGTCACTGCATTCATTGTGTCTTCGTCACAAAAATCCGTATGTTAGACGCTGCAACTAAAAACAATGCCAAAAAAACGATGTCACTAACGCTTCACTTTTGATTTTAACACTTCACCGACAGACGAATTGGTCACTGGGGTATTATTACGATAATGTTGATATATACTTTTAATAGAAAACGTTAGCGTATTTGCATTGACGAGTATCTACGTCTGTTTCATCGAGGAAACTGTAAAAGGATGTACTCGAATAAACGTTGTATCGGGCCGAGATGTAACAGCGTTGTGGCTTGCGTGCGTACGCGTCCGCCCGCGTTACATCGACTCTCCGTTATCGCGCCGGGGTCCGCTAATGGATTACAAGTTTAGAAGATAAATTAGATCAAAACCCCGCGCACAAGGGCGCAGCGGAAGCATGAATTACGCGCCGAACGTCCCACACTTCCACGTCAAAGGTGAACGATGTTGTAAATTAATTTCTCGTCGCCGGTAATGACAAAGTGGTCCGTAAATATAGGCTCCTGAACTCTATATAACCTTTATATCGTATATTAAAACAATGGAACTGACATTGCTGCCGCTTTTTAGTCGACTTCTACCAAATATAATGTCTACGAGTGCCTACGAGTCTTTGAAAAGGAATGAGAGAGTTAGCAAGTAAACAAGGTATTGTTTTTTTAGGGTAACATCAAAGCGAGGTCAATTATTTAGAAAATGAAAATACAAGTATTTCTTTGTATCCATTAAAACAATCAGCAATGTGACTCTGTATTGGTATAGGTATTTTCGGAAGCGTGTGAGCTCCGCTTTCGCTTTTTGAATTTGAAGCGATTTATACAACCTTTTCCAAAAACTATCATAAAATTACCATAAAAATCACAATATCCGTTTCAACACTTTGGAAGACCTGATTCCTAAATAAATTTACATTTTAAGGCGCAAAAATATGTCTGACAATGTATTATAGGCCGAAAATAATTCATCGACGACTTACAAATATTACGTTTCATTACATTCTCTAGAACGAGCATTGCAATTCAAAGAGTTACGATAAAAAGTTCTGAATAACATAAACGTGCGTGACTCAACATACTCTGTGCATTACACCGCCTTAATGACGTATAAGTTCACAATAACATTACGACGAAAATTATAAACTGTGGCACTCAGAAGCGTTTAATAATCACTAAGAAAGAGCCTTAGTGTAGATTAAATATGAGAAAAGAGTGTCCATTAAACGCATATTGAATAATTCTTCCTGGACTCGTGACAGTCTAAGTGATGAAGCGTCCAACCATCAAGATGGTGTGAATAAAATTTGTAACGTAATAAAAACAGCAGGAAAACAATTTTATATAATTGAATGTTAAAATAAAAAATTCACATGTAAAGGAATTTCGTGAAACAGCTGATATTGACAAATGATCCTTGAGTTATTGGACACGTCATTATTTCTAGGTCACATATTATCGATATTCTTGTTTAACTTATACAACATGATACTTGATCTCTCTTAATCTAAAATATAACACGTCTATATTTCCTAAGCAACGAGAAATATTTATAAATATTAATTAATAAATCAATCGAGACATAGTTAACATAAGTTTAACATATACGAAGATTATTAGTCCAGTTAAATTAGCGATCTACTCAATATTCAGTCTAGACTATGTATGATAAATATGTTCATACAGTCTTCAAGGTAGTAAGTGAAGTTTTAAAAAGCAAACTTTGAAATAAAATGCATTCAGAGAGCAATGGCAGTCGGCGTGTCGACAAGTCTGTCGCAAAGGAATAAAAGAAAGGGTTACATAAGTAGTGACTACGACGAACAGTTATTGTTGAAGTGTGCGACCAGGGCACAACTAAAGGTGACTACTAATCGAACTTTCTTCTAGAAATTTCTGAACACACAAAAATGTAAAATACTAAATCACCCAAATCACTGAAACAAAGAACCAATACGTATCTACAACTAGTGAAATTATTGACTTCGTAATTCACTTGCCTATCATTTTATTCCATAATCCTATCCAATTTTAGCAAAATTACGCAATACTGTTTAATTTACGTAAATAAAGCTACGTATTAACGTGATCATAAGGTGATATCCAATTCAATATTTTAACAAACATCACTCAAGTGTGAATGCAACTTTATGGTGCATGAAAACGCATACCGCGCCCATCCGTCTCGATCCACACGTCTCGTCGTTTTCGTCCTATACTCCCCTCTTGCAATGCTTTCTTTTATATCAAAAGTAGACAAACAAGCTGGCAGCAGGGGAACGTAGTCGCATTATATACTGGCCAATCAACGCTATACATCGCTATGATAGTGTTATTGACCTCTTGTTATTAGCATATGCAACTGATAAACATATTGCATAATTAGCTATAATCGATTATACAATGGAAAAAATTATATTTTTAATATGGTAATTTTTATCAAATATTTGGTACTGGATTTGAAAAAGTATATTATTAATGTATTTAAATATAATAATCCAATTGTAGGCCTCCCGCAAGATGTACCGATGACATAGTCAAGGTTGCGGGAGTGCACTGGATGGGGGCGGCACACTACTGGGCATTGTGGCAATCGATGGGGGAGGCCTACGTCCAGCAGTGGTTAAATTTAGGCTGTTTATGATAAATCAAATTATAATTAAACTACCTGTCGCGCGGGACTCCATCCGTTCGGAATAAGAAAAAAAAATAACTAGTAGCCTATGTGTTCTTCCAGGCTGTGATCTACATCTATAGCAAATTTCAGCGAGATCCGTTCAGCCGTTTCAGAGACCTTCAAACAAACATCTATCCATCTAAACATTCCGATTTATAATATTAGTAAGATTGACAAAGTAAATAATAAATAACACAAGTGCTACAAGATTTTTATTTACAAAGTGCATGTTTGCACGTGTTTTCTGCATTTTTATTGTTGCTTTGAAGGATGTTATAATCGTAAAAATTGCTGTTGACGCAGTACTTTTTTATCCTATGTATGAAGAATTTACATACAATTAAGAATACAAGGATAAATAAGAATCAGAATAAGTAAAATAAAACGATTTAATTATTAACTGCAATCTGTAATCAAGCTCCCAAATACTTAATGGTATTATACATAGACATGATAATTGTTTTGTTTAGGAATCGTATTTATTAATTAACCTTTAATGGTTGTGTCACGTTGTACAAAACAAGATAAAAGACATGACAAATCTAAAAGTGGATAACTATTACCAAAACGCATGTACAAAAACGCACTTTTGTTTTTAATCTTTAAATGAATAGATGGATGGATGAATGCATGAATGGATAGATGTATGTTTGTTTGAAGGTATGTCGAGAACGACTCAACGAATCACGTTGAAATTTGGCATGAACGTATAAAATTGTCTCGAAGAACAC